CCGAATTCCGCCAAATGCGAAAAGGGAGGTCGTATTTTTGGGAAGTGGCTTTACTGTATACGCATGACATCACGGGGCAAGATTCTGGCTCGGGGTGCCAAGCTCTGGTGGAAAGTTGCACTTTAAAAAGGAATGCAACGTGCCTGCAGGCCGCTAGCCTTAACAAAAGAATCTGTTCACTGTTTGCTTGGACTACTGCAATGCACTCTATGTGGGACTACCTTTGAAGGTGACCCGGAAACTACAACTAATCCAGAATGCGGCAGATAGACTGGTGACTGGGAGTGGCCGCCAAGACCACATAACACCGGTCTTGAAAGACCTACACCGGCTCTCAGTACATTTCCGAGGACAATTCAAAGTGTTGGTGCTGGCCTTGAAAGCCCTAAACGGCCTTGGTCCAGTATACCTGAAGGAGCGTCTCCACCTCCATCGTTCTGCCCGGATGCTGAGGTCCAGTGCTGAGGGCCTTCTGGTGGTTCCATCACTGAGAGAAGCCAAGTTACAGGGAACCAGGCAGAGGGCCTTCTCGGTAGTGGCGCCCGCCCTGTGGAACGCCCTCCCACCAGATGTCAAAGAGAAGAACAACTAGCAGACTTTTAGAAGACATCTGAAGGCAGCCCTGTTCAGGGAAGCTTTTAATGTTTGATGCATTACTGTATTTTAATATTTTGTTGGAAGCCGCCCAAAGTGGCTGGGGAAACCCAGCCAGATGGGCAGGGTATAAATAATAAATTGTTGTTGTTGTTGTTGTTGTTGTTGTAATGAAACACTATGGCAAGGCTCACCCAGGGATGCAGTCAAGCTAGGAGCTGCAAGGAGCTCAGAAGAGAACCTCCATAGCCAGAGGAACTCTACCTCAGAGTGAGAGATCCCAGATACCCTCTAAGTGTCCTGATTTTCCAGGGACAGTCCTGGAATTAGAGAAGCCGTCCTGGTATCTGACTCGATCCTGGAAGGTTCCGCTTTTGGGTGTCCCTATTTTCACCGGAGAAACGTTGGAGGAGACAGAATAGGATGTCACCCGTCTCATCAAGAGAAATGGAGGGGTTTGGTAATAGGATGTCCCTGTTTCCACCTGAGAAATGTTGGAGGGGATGAGATAGTAGGGACAAGCAACAGGAGATAGCTGCCTAATGGTTAAGAGTGTTGGGAGACCAGGGTTCGAATCCCCATGGCCATGAAGCTCACTGGGTGACCTTGGGCCAGGCACCGTCTCTTAGTGTAACCTACCTCGCAAGGTTGTTGTGAGGATGAAATGGCAAGGAGGAGAACCATGTATGCCAGCTTGAGCTTCTTGGGAGAAAAAAGTGGTATATAAATGTAATAACTAAATAAATATTTTGGAAGTGTGTCAAGGACATCAAGCTAGCTATTCTTGGACACAGGCTATAAAGTTTGGTCTGAAATCCAGCAGGGTCCTTTTTATATATTGCTGTAGGTTTCGGGTATGGGTTGGGGTCAGTCTGGATGATGTCTGGAGTCCCCTCCAATTCCTGGGGTCTTGTACCCAGTGAGAAACTAAACAGAGGATTCTGTTGCTGAGCTTGTCAGACAAGATTCTTTGCAAGGCAGCAACCTCAGATGGCCACAAGAATAAGCCAGGTTGCTTATTCTAAATGGGGTAGAAATCTGATAAATACACCGGTCCATTGCTTGGCTGCACTTGGGGGCCTGATCCAGTGCTTCAGAGTGTGGGATGTGAAACACAAGAGCAGTCAAGTACAACATTCCTAGAGTGAACATGTTTACGCATGGGGAGGAATGTTTGTCCAGCCAGCAGGTAAACTTCCTGTTTCCTTCTGGGCTTGGACAGACTTCCTCTGTGACTAGAGGTGGGTGTGGCCTCACCTGTGCAGGTAACAACAAAAGCACAGGGCAGGGCAGCCATCTCTCTCTCTGTGACTACATGCATTGAAGAAGCAACATCTGCTTAGCCAAAGATGCTCTCTTCCAAGAGAGGACAAAGGGACTGTCTCCTTATGAGATAGGTGTATGTTACTTTTCTAAGCTAAATCTGCCTTCTGGGATCCAATTCTGAACAGAATGATGTGTGAGTAAACCTTTTTATACTTTTATAGAAGACTGTGTCGTGTCTTATCTTTTAGGAGGGAATAAAGGGAAAATACCAGAACAGTTATTATAGAGGCTTTAGCGAACCTGAGCTAACGCATCCACTGTGAGTTTAAAAAGGGGAATGTTACTCTGCTAAATTGTGAACTTGTTTACCCAAGTTGGGAAGGCTATAATCAAACAATATATCCTCTCCTGCATCCCTGAACATTCCCACACAGAGCACCTCCAAATCGACCCAGGATGTTCTGGGGCTGACCTCACCTGGGTCTGGTTCCCAGACTGATTTTGGGGCATTGAATAGTATTTAATTAGGGATTGAATCCCTAATGAAACATGCGGTCAGGAAGGGGGTGAAGGAGTCACAACCGGCCGGCTACCTGTCTGTCTCCTTCCTCCCCGATCGCCTTGCCACCAGACTGCCCCCCACCTTTTCAGAGCCCCAAAGTGGACCCAAACCACCCTGGGGAAATCCTGGGCTACCTGAATCAGCCTGACTGGGTTTGGGATCTGTGATTCGGCCACAGCTCCAGTCATTGTAGGCTTGCCATGCGTCCTCTATTTCCAGGACACGTCCTCTTTTTCAGGGTTAAATTTCTGTCCAAGTGGATTTTTAAAAGTTGCCAAACTGGCTAAACTTTGTGGATGCGACATAGACATAACTGGTAGTTGAAGACTTGCTTTCCTTTTCTCTTCTCCTGCCGCCCTCAGCAATATATCACAGCTTCTATATAGTTGGGGCATTTAGAATGAGAGCCTCTTTTTTGCTCTTCAAAATATGGCAACCCTACATTACAAGAACTTTGCAACGGAGGACTAGTGCCCGAGCTTGCTTTTCTTTTCTTCCCTCCAGACGCCTTTTCCTTTTGTGCCATGTCTTTTAGACAGGTGAGCCCGAGCACAAGGACTGCCTCATCGCTGGCATTTGTAAGCCGCTCTGCCAACCAGAGAGCAGGATATAAATAGCCGTGAGTCACAGCCAACTTATTTATATATGTACATTTCCCAGAGATTTGCGGTCTGTGAAGCACGGCGGGCCTCAGTAGAACAATGCTGTCCACATAAGGCAGAATTAAAAGGACAGTAGTGTTGCGGCTCTAACATTCGAAAGTTTAAAATATATTAAGGTGGGGATTTGAAGAGGAGGTGTGGAGGGGGTGAGCTAGAGGAGAGGGAAAGGGGAAAAGCAGATCTTATATCTCAGGAGATCCAGTGAAAAGAAAAGTCAGAGGATATCTCAGGCTAAATGTCCACTGTCCATCCCTGCCCTGCTGGAATCTGAGACTCTCACTCGAGTCTGAAGAATATACTGCGCAGCAGAGGATCGCCAAAGCTTTGCCAAACATTTCTGCCTCTGAAGCACCTAGCTGTCCAAAGAAAAGCAACAAACATCAAGCAACAGGCATTGCTTGCCTTGTCTCCAAACTGGAAAGTCCCAAACAATGCAACATTTCTTCATAGGGAAGTCAACTTGAGTCGCATGTTTTAGAGGTGATTCAAATGGAAGTTGCCTTGATTTAATGCTGCCCAGTACTTTTTTCCTAAAAATATATTTAGGGGTACTCTCATTTTCCTACTCATATTGAAATACTGCCCCTCAATGAGGACAAACTTTGTAAAGGACCCCTGGACGGTTAAGTCGAGTCAAAGGCGACTATGGGGTTGCGGCGCTCATCTCGTTTTCAGGCTGAGGGAGCCAGCGTTCGTCCACAGACAGCTTTCCGGGTCATGTGGCTAGCCACTTCTGGCGCAATGGGACACCGTGACGGAAACCAGAGGGCTTGGAAACGCCGTTTACCTTCCTGCCGGAGTGGTACCTATTTATCTGCTTGCACTGGTGTGCTTTCGAACAGCTAGGTTTGCAGGAGTTGGGACTGAGCAATGGGAGCTTACTCTGTCACGGGGATTCGAACCGCTGACCTTCCGATGGGCAAGCCCAAGAGGCTCAGTGGTTTAGACCACATCCCTTTCCCACCCCAAATTGTTTAGGGGTATGTGTACCCCTGCGTCCCCCCAGGAAAAGTCCTGTCTGACTTTTAGAAGACATCTGAAGGCAGTGCCGTACAGTGGTACCTCGGGTTAAGTACTTAATTCATTCTGGAGGTCCGTTCTTAACCTGAAACTGTTCTTAACCTGAAGCACCACTTTAGCTAATGGGGCCTCCTGCTGCTGCCACGCTGCCGGAGCACGATTTCTGTTCTCATCCTGAAGCAAAGTTCCTAACCTGAAGCACTATTTCTGGGTTAGCGGAGTCTGTAACCTGAAGCGTATGTAACAGGTACCACTGTATAGGGAAGTTTTTAATGTTTGATGTCTTATTGGGTTTTAATTTGTTGGAAACCGCCCAGAGCGTCTGGAGAAACCCAGTCAGATGGGTGGCATAATAATAATAATAATAATAATAATAATAATAATTGCTGCAGGGGTTGGACTAGAAGACTCCCTTTCAACTCTACAATTCTATGAAACCCATCTGCAACCTGCCACCTCTTTCTTTGATCACTCGTCGCCGGTTAATTTCCTCCAAACCGATTTGTTCCGGACAGCTTTGCGATGAAACCAGCTCCAGCCTCCCTCCTTTTTCCCTCGGATGCAAACGTTGAGCCTGGAGTGCCATTGGGGAACAGCCGTCCTCTCTGCACCTCAGGGGATGAAATCGATACAGCTGGCCACGTTCCTGCCCCCCCCCACCTCGTCCCAAGATGGGCTGTTCTGACCTCTCTCTCCAGGCTCTGTATCTGATACTCTCCAACCATCATTCCATTTCAACGCTAATTCAGAACAATGCCCTAAGCGGACGCTCCAAAATAGCCGGGCCAGATATCTTCTCCTTTTATAGGAATGGCCCTATTGTGAGACATGGTATGTGTGGCTGGGGAGGGGGCGATGGCTGAGGTGGGGGGTGGGGGTTGATTTGGAAGCCAAGTGACACGGCGTGTGACATCCAAGGACCAGGAGGTGGATAAAGGCCTCTGCCAGGAGAGACATCCTCCGCTCTGTTGGATCACCTTCCCGAGCGGCCAGCCTCTCCTCCTTCATCCCGCTGCAGAACCACCGCCATGGCCCCCAAGAAACCAGAACCCAAGAAAGCAGAACCTAAGAAAGAGGAGCCCAAGGCAGCCCCTAAACCAGCACCCCCACCCGAGCCAGAAGTCCGCAAGGAAGTGGAGTTTAACCCGGCGAACATCAAAGTAAGTGTCTTTTTTGACATCCGTAAATTGTTAACAGGGTAGGGGAGGACTGTTCCCTTCTTGGGTACCGGGTGAAGTTTCTTCTTTTTCCTCCTCCTCCTCCTCCTCCTCCTTCTCCTTCCTCTTCCTCCTTCCTCTTCCTCCTCCTCCTCCTCCTCCTTCCTCCTTCTCCTCCTCCTTCCTCCTCCTTCCTCCTTCCTCCTCCTCCTCCTTCCTCCTCCTCCTTCCTCCTTCCTCCTCCTCCTCCTCTTCTTCTCCTTCTTCTCCTTCCTCCTCCTCCTCCTCCTCCTCCTCCCCTTCTTCTTCTTCTTCTTCTTCTTCTTCTTCTTCTTCTTCTTCGCTACAAGGTGATTGACACAAAAACAAGTACAATAGCTTTGAAAGCAGCACAAATAAATCAACCAGAGCTAAGGGCAGTGTTGTAAGGGGTTTTTTTGGGGGGGGGGTCAGTTTGGATGATGCCCTGAGTCCCTTCCAAGTCTTGGGATCTTGTGCCCAGTGAGAGTTGGAATCTAGACGGTTGCTGAACTGCTCAGACAAGTTTATTTGTAAGACAAGGAGCTCAGCCGGTCACTTTAAGTACCCTCGTTCGCATCCCAAAATAATGACCTCAGTTGTATGAGCCACAGCTAAGGGGTGGTACCCTCCAGGCTAATGGGTGAAGCTCTCTCTGCTTCACCTAGCTGCTAAATAGGAGAAACAGAGTTTTGGGTGTGAGCTGAGCTAAAAGCAGGCTGGAAGCTGGAGACACAGAGACCTGTTTGCGATGTGCTGGATCCAATATGTGATGAATGGAGAAGTGAGATCTGCTGGGATGTTACTGCTGTGAGCCCCTTTATCCTATGCCCAGATTGCAGATGTTGTTGTTGTTTAGTCGTTTAGTGGTGTCCGACTCTTCGTGACCCCCTGGACCAGAGCACGCCAGGCACTCCTGTCTTCCACTGCCTCCCACAGTTTGGTCAAACTCATGTTGGTAGCTTCGAGAACACTGTCCAACCATCTCGTCCTCTGTCGTCCCCTTCTCCTTGTGCCCTCCATCTTTCCCAACATCAGGGTCTTTTCCAGGGAGTCTTCTCTTCTCATGAGGTGGCCAAAGTATTGGACCCTCAGCTTCAGGATCTGTCCTTCCAGTGAGCGGTGTAAGTAAAACCATGTATCCCCACAGTCTCCACTGACTCTCATCTGAACCCTAAGCAAGCTTTGGATTCTTCCACCAACAATAGTTTTTAAGACAATAGAGAATTAACGTCTGTTAGTGTAGAGACCTTTTCACCCAGCTGGGAAACCTTTTACAAAAATAACAGAACCCTTTGATTTCGTTTTCCCTGCAAAGAACTGATAGTGGGCACTTGCCATATCCCAAGAGAGATGCTGTTCCATAGAACGGGGCAGCCAAACCGAAAACCTGCCCTGATTTACTGGGTGTACACATCTGATATTTTAGGAAAATACTTTCCTGTGGAACGCAGTGACCTCCTTGGTACGTAAGGGAGAAGGCCATCACTTAAGTAAGCTGGTCCTGAGCTATACAGTAGTACCTCGAGTTACAAACGCCTCAGGTTACAAACGCTTCAGGTTACAAACTCTGCTAACCTGGAAGAGTTACCTCGAGTTGAGAACTTTGCCTCAGGATGAGAACGGAAATTGTGTGCCGGCAGCGCAGCGGCCACAAGAGGCCCCATTAGTGAAAGCACGCCTCTAGTTAAGAACAGTTTCAGGTTAAGAACGGACCTCCGGAACGAATTAAGTTCGTAACCAGAGGTACCACTGTATAGGGTAGTGTAGGTCAAGACCAAAACCTTGAACTCAGCCCAGTTAACAATGCAGATCCCGCATAAAAGGAGTTATGGATGGGGAGAAAAGTTTGTCCCCGAGACCATCTTAGCCACTGCAAACTGCCTTGAGTCCTATCAGGGAAAATGGAGGGGACTGCAATGGTACCTTGGTTCTCAAACTTAATCCGTTCCAGAAGTCTGTTCCAAAACCAAAGCCTTCCAAAACCAAGGCGCGCTTTCCCATAGAAGGTAATGCAAAACGGATTAATCATTCCAGACTTTTAAAAACAACCCCTAAAACAGCAATTTAACATGAATTTTACTCTCTAACGAGACCATTGATCCATAAAATGAAAGCAAGAATCAATGTGCTGTACTATAAAATAAATAAGATAGACTTGTAGATGGTAGAAAAAAATAAAAATTACCTGCACTGTTGATAGTCCTTGTTTGGATGGGGGGGCTATTATCCATTTCCACAGTCACACAATCAATCAATCAGTAGTTGAACTGGGTTCCACACAGTCACACACAAAAAAAATTAACCGGAAAAGCCACAAAAACAAAAAAGCAAAATAAATAGCAAAAACAAAAGCGCCAAGCTTAATCCGTTCTGGAAGTCCATTTGACTTCCGAAATGTTCTAAAACCAAGGCGCGACTTCTGATTGGTGCAGGCACTCTAGAAGCAATAGCCAACAGCCGCATTGGACGTTCGGCTTCCGAAAAACGTTTGAAAACCGGAACACTTACTTCCGGGTTTTCGCCATTTGGGAACCAAGGCGTTTGAGTACCAAGGTGTTTGAGATCCAAGGTACCACTGTAATAATAATGATGATGATGATGATGATGATGATGATGATGCACAAGCTCAAGTATGGCTCCACATATCTTAGAGCTGTACCCAAATTTGTTGGCATCTGTCTGTCTCGAGAGACAACAAAGTGCATTTCTGGGGGTGAAGTCAAATTGCTGCATTAGCAGCACAGAAATGACCTGCCTGGGGTGCAAGACTGGGGCAGTGTGTCTGGAGGTCCTGGGCTGCCCAGATGACAAGACCCCCCTCTTGGCCTCACTGATATGGTCCAAAGGAAAGCAGTGCAAGACGTCTGGCACCAGCTTAGCATCTGGGCTTGCAGAACTTGCTACTCACAGGTTCATTGAGGATCAGATTCCATATCTACAGAATACGTGTTCATTGTGGAATGAATCTGGGTTTGTCTCCCCAAGGAATGCTGACATCCGGAGGACGTCCAGGGAATGAAACCCAGTATCATGAATCTTGTCCCGAGAGAGCCAGCGTGGTGTAGTGGTTAAGAGCAGTGGACTCGTAATCTGGTGAACCGGGTCCGCTTTCCCACTCCTCCACATGCAGCTGCTGGGTGACCTTGGGCTAGTCACACTTCTCTGAAGTCTCTCAGCCTCACTCAACTCACAGAGTGTTTGTTGTAGGGGAGAAAGGGAAAAGAGATTGTTAGCCACTTTGAGACTCGCTGTGGGTTAAACCACAGAGTCTAGGACTTGCTGATCAGAAGGTCGGTGGTTTGGATCCCCGCGACAGGGTGAGCTCCCTTTGCTCGGTCCCTGCTCCTGCCAACCTAGCAGTTCGAAAGCACATCAAAGTGCAAGTAGATAAATAGGTACCGCTCTGGCAGGAAGGTAAACGGTGTTTCCATGCGCTGCTCTGGTTCGCCAGAAGCGGCTTAGTCCTGCTGGCCACATGACCCTGAAAAACTGTCTGCGGACAAACGTCAGCTCCCTCGGCTTATAGAGCGAGATGAGCGCCGCAACCCCAGAGTCATCTGCGACTGGACCTAACAGTCAGGGGTACCATTACCGTTTTTGGATGCAAGGGGTGCATAGAATTGCAACCAATTCTTGGGAATAAATCCCACTGATCATGATGAAATTCGCAGGCAAGCAGATTGCTGCTTTGCAGTCCTGCTTTTTAAATAAATGTTTTCCTTTTCAGATAATACAGAACATGATGAAATCACAATAAATTAAAGCTCCCTTTCAGTAGTTTCAAGCACTACTACAGGTTCCCCATAATATCTGTACTGCATTGTTTAGCTTGGCAGCAGCTGCACTTTGGAACTCCCCGCCTATTGCAATAAAGCACTTGCCTTTGCTAGACTGTTTTCAGGCACCTGCTAAAAGCATTCTTGTTTAGGAACGCATTCCCAGCTGCTTAGGAAGTTGAAGTAATTGGCTCCCTCGGCCAATAAAGCGAGATGAGCGCTGCAAGCCCAGAGTCAGCCACGACTTGACCTAATGGTCAGGGGTCCCTTTACCTTTACCTTAAGGGGAGTGAAAGGCGGGATATCAAGTCCAAACTCTTCTAGGTTATGAAGGCTTGGCCCGTCTCAACTTGACAGCCCACATCTGCGGCTCCGAGCTTCTCGAGTGTGCGCAGTGCTGGCGTGATCCTGGATGATGTCCGTACTTCGCTAGGCAGAGCAAATCCGGTGGGGTAGTTAGGAGGGGCAGTTTGCCCCGGGTGTCACCCTGACAGGGGGTGACAAAATGCTGAGCGGTACTCACCGTGGGGCCTGCAGCGCACACAAACCATGCGTCTCGGTGCCCGCAGGCTCCACGCTGTCCGTCTGCTGCCTCCCCACCCAGCTGTAGGGCGGCTGAGGCCTTGCGGCACGCCCCGTCCATATGGGCACTATGCTGTGCTGTCCCTATGGGCACCACACTCCCTGTCCCATCCCACCCCTATTGGCACCGAGTGCCCTGTTCCGTCCCACCCCTATGGGCACCGAGTGCCCTGTTCCGTCCCTATGGGCGCCCTGCACCCCGCCCCTATGGGCGGTTCGCCCCACCCCTGGGCATGCTGTGCCCAGGGGCCCAAGAGGCTTCCTCCATCACTCAGAGAATGGAGTACGACACCCAGAGCAAGTAGATTGATGCAGCACATACCGTATTTTTTGCTCCATAAGACGCACCTGACCATAAGACGCACCTAGTTTTTAGAGGGGGAAAACAAGAAAAAAAATATTCTGAACGAAACAGTGGATGTGTGGTTTTTTTGGTGCAGGCTGTACCATGGACATGCTATGTGATCTGAAAGTGAATTTGGGGTGACCCAATGCAAAAATCCTGAGGATCCATGGGCTTTTACCTCCCCCCTCCCAGGCAGCCTCCTTTATCCCTAGCGTCCTTTATCTCCCTCACCCGATTGCTTGCTAATAATAATAATAATAATAATAATAATAATAATGGTTTCCCCAGCACCAACCTCAGCACCAACACTTTGAATTGTGCTCAGAAACGTACTGGGAGCCAATGTCGGTCTTTCAAGACCGGTGTTATATGGTCTCGGCGGCCGCTCTGATCGGCTGCTTCCCTTCAACAAGGCCTTCCCTCTTGTTTGCCTTAGTGTCTTTTCCTTAGCTGGAGCAGTTTTTTGCTCCTCCTTTTCTTCTAATTTCTCTCCTCATTGCTTTAGTCTTCCTGTCTCCTCTCCTTGCAAGTTTGCTGTCTTTACTTCCCCCTCCCAGGCAACCTCCTTTATCTCTAGCGTCCCTTATCTCCCTTCCAATCGCTTGCGATCAGTGGCTTTGTTTCAACACCCACTTCCCTCTTTCAAAAAAAAGAGAGAGCATGATCTGCTTTTTGCCCCTGGGCAATTTGGCTCCAGGGACCATGCATTTGCTCCATAAGACGCAGACATCTCCCCTTACTTTTTAGGAGGAAAAAAGTGTGTCTTATGGAGTGAAAAATGCGGTAGTTAAACAGTGGAACTCCCTCCCACAGGAGACGATGATGGCCACCCACTTAGATGGCTTTAAAAGAAGATGAGACCAATTCATGCAGATGAGGATTATAGATGCCTCCTAGTTGTGATGGCTCTGCTCTGCTTCCACAGCTGGAGGCAGCAATGCTTGTGAAGGTCAGTTGCTGGAAAGCACAGGAGAGGAGATGTGGTCTTGTGTTCGAATCCTGATTGAGGGTTTCTTCGGCTTGGCTGCTGGGAGAGCAGGGTGCTGGGCAAGACAGGCCTTTGGCCTCATCCGGCAGAGTTCTACTTATGTTCTTATATGCTCCTTTCCTTAAGATTAAGGATCTCAAACCTGTAAAAGGGTAAAAGAGTATTGGGAAATGATTTATAATGAATTGAAAAAAATGTTTAATAGCACCCCCCAAACACACACACACACACACACACACAAACACCCAGAGTCCTTTCTGTTGAGGATAATTCAGATGGAAATTCCCAGGAAATTCCTATCAGTGACCCCGGGGGAGTTCCTAGTTGATGTGCATCGGCAGGACTCCCCTACTGGTGGTTAACCCTTCCTGGACTTCTAGCGGATGGGCTGGAGTTGGATATAGTCGGTTAGGACCAATGCCTAAGCCAATACCGCTCATCACCTGTAACCAATAAAGTTGTGGCCTTTTTTAGCCCATTAAGCTTAATAATTGTGTCATGTGTCTTTATTTCCACTGGGAGAGGGCGGGAACTCACCATGCAATTGCCAACCCGCTGACATAGTGGAGGCAAATGGTTGTGGATTTCTCTCTCTACATACATTTTGAGCCATTTTGGCTGCGTCGGGTGTTATTGAATAGCAGGAATTGCTGGTAGGGAGAGTTGGTCCTGTGTTCAAATCCTGCTTGCAGGTTTCACACAGGCATCTGGTCGGCCAATGGGAGACCAGGATGCTGGGACGCCATTAGGGTGTGTCATTTTCCGGGGTGAACATTTGCAAATTTCTTCAGCGAGAGGTCTTTTAAATATGATTTGGGGTGTGAGGAATTGGCTATTATTGTTGCGACTGCACAACGTTTATCTCCGTAAGTCTGCCTTTGATGAAAGATGGTTATTTTGAATGGTTTCTATGCAATTTCACACCCATTTTGATTAACTAAATGATATTAATTTAACCAAAATATCTCTTGGATTCCCAAGTCATTTGCCAACATTTTAGCACCCCTCATGTTTGGAATCTGAAAGTTGGAAATTCAACATGCCCTAATGGACTCATGGCCTCATCCTGCAGGTCCCTTTAACGTCCTTGCAGTAAAAAGGATAGTCTGTATTATGTGTTTCTAAATTTGATGAGAAAGAAAATATTAAAGACGGCCATTTCCTGCCCACAAAGAACAGCAACGGTGGTTTGTTTACACGGTTAAGTCATCTCAGACTTTTAAGAACAACGCCCCGTTCCTTTGGGGACCTCAGCGAGGGACGGTTGTGAAGTTTGCACATTAAATGTATGTCTGTTCCATTGAGTAAAAAAGGTAAAGGGTAAAGGGACCCCTGGTCCAGTCATGACCAACTCTGGGGTTGCGGCGCTCATCTCGCTTTACTGGCCAAGGGAGCCAGCGTACAGCTTCCGGGTCATGTGCCCAGCAGGACTAAACCGCTTCTGGCGAACCAGAGCAGCACACAGAAACGCCGTTTACCTTCCCGCCGGAGCAGTACCTATCTATCTACTTGCACTTTGACGTGCTTTCGAACTGCTAGGTTGGCAGGAGCAGGGACTGAGCAACGGGAGCTCACCCCGTTGCGGGGATTCGAACCGCTGACCTTCTGATCGGCAAGTCCTAGGCTCTGTGGTTTAACCCACAGCGCCACCCACTCAAACCCATGATCCGAAGATTAAGAGTCTCATGCTCTACCAACTGAGCTACCAAGACAGATTTCCCCACATTCCACATCTACATGCCCCTTTCTTACATTATTTTGAAAAAATGCTGCGTACAGTGATTCTAACTAATAGAGTTGAGTCGTCCCGTGATTGTGCAACAAACAAATAAAGCCATAATATGGGCTAACGTACACAGTGACTTGCGATCTCGATCACACGCAGTCTGTAGTCCGCTGGCAGTAGGAGTACAATATGGGTATGTCTTTAAGTTAACATCTTACATTAAAATCTGACAGTACCAAACTATCGAAGGCTTTTCACCAAAGCCAGACTAAATGTCTTTCCTTCTGCAGTGTTGGATGGTAGGTTGAGAGGAGTTCCCTACCAGGACAGACTTTGCCCATGTGCTCAAGACATCGATTCCATAAAACATATTTTGTTGCATTGTGCAAAATATGAGCAAGCCAGGGCTGAACTGATACTATCCATGCTGGTACCTTCCCCGGGAAAATCAGAGGCTCACTATGTCAGGTTCCTACTGGAAGACCGGACAATTGCTAGAACATTAGCAGTGGCAAAATTTTTATCGGTGGTTGCAATAACAAATGATCCCTATATTCTAAACAAAATGCTTGTTTAACCTAGAGGTAGGCTGTATGAATTGGGTATTGCTTTGTAATGATTTGTTGGGTCTCTGGACTGTAATAAAGATTGAAGATGATGAAATAAAGCCATAATAAGTGAGATGTTTCGGGCTTTTCACCTGCGCTCTATCTCTTGCTTTTATTTCATGCGATGAGCACAGTCTGTTCTTTGCTTGGGCTTGAGAAGGGCAGAGGTAGCAGGAACAGGGATGATCCGTCAGGCTTTTAATAGCCGGACAACTGCGTCTGCCTCCTCTCCCGTTTACCTGGCTCCTGTTGAGCTCACCCTTTGTCACCGTCCAAAATAGAATCACTTGTTTGCGAACGTAAAAGGAAGGCGGAGAGTGAGTGGCGGGCATGCTTTTTCCTGGCTCAATTCCCATCGCCTTTTGCAGCTGTCCAGCTCGAGGAAAGGACGGCAGAGAGAAGCTCTTCTTCCGCCGCTGCATCTCCCTGCTAGGAAAGGTTTTTCACTTGCAAGGATGGTGTTTTAGCCCTCAAGGGCATATTCACATAGGGCTAGGAGAGACCCCCTGCCTGAACCCTGGAGGGCTGCAGGCAATATTGAGCTAGATTGCTGTTGTTGTTTAGTCGTGTTTTTAATTTTCTGTTGTGAGCTGCCCAGAGTGGCTGGGGAAACCCAGCCAGATAAGTGGGGTGTTGTTGTTTAGTCTTTAGTCGTGTCCGCCTCTTCGTGACCCCATGGACCAGAGCACACCAGGGACTCCTGCCTTCCACTGCCTCCCGCAGTTTGGTCGGGCTCATGTTTGTAGCTTCGAGAACACCATCCAACCATCTCGTCCTCTGTCATCCCCTTCTCCTGGTGCCCCCCATCTTTCCCAACATCAGGGCCTTTTCCAGGGAGTCTTCTCTTCTCATGAGGTAGCCTAAGTATTGGAGCCTCAGCTTCAGGATCTGTCCTTCCAGGGAGCACTCAGGGCTGATTTCCTTCAGAATGGAGTGGTTTGATCTTCTTGCAGTCCATGGGACTCTCAAGAGTCTCCTCCAGCACCAGAATCCAAAAGCATCCATTCTTTGGCGATCAGCCTTCTTTATGGTCCAGCTCTCACTTCCATACATCACTACTGGGAAAACCAGAGCTTTAACTATACGGACCTTTGTTGGCAAGGTGATGTCTCTGCTTTTTAAGATGCTGTCTAGGTTTGTCATTGCTTTTCTCCCAAGAAGCAGGCGTCTTTTAATTGGTACCTCGGGCTACAGACCCTTCAGGTGCTTCATGTTAAAGACTCCGCTAACCCAGAAATACTACCTCGGGTTAAGAACTTTGCTTCAGGATGAGAACAGAAATTGCACAGTGGCACAGTGGGAGAAGGGGCTCCATTTCTCCTCCCGCAGCGCCTCTCCAGTGAAGAGAAGTCAGAACAGCAAGAGGGATCACTACGCAGCGTTCCTCCCATTGCCCTGAAGAGGCTTCGCGCGGCTATCCCTGAATCCAGAAGAGGGATCGGTACGCACCGATCCCTCTCGCTGTTCTGTCTTCTGGGATAGCTGTGCAGCCTGCATTCACTCCATAAGACGCACACACATTTTCCCTTACTTTTTAAGAGGGGAAAAGTGCATCTTATAGAGCGAAAAATACGGTATGTTGGAAGCTGCCCAGAGTGCCCAGTCAGATGGGCAGGGTATAATTAGTAAATTTTTCATTATGGAATGGGGCATCCCTATTTTCATCAGAGAAATGTGGGAGGGCATGGAATCTGAAATCATGTTTCTGAAGTCCATTAGCAGGGAGGACAGTCAGTCTGTGAAATGCTTTATATTTTTGGCTGTGGCCCTTGCCAAAAGACCACGTCATTTCTCCGAAAAGTCTGCACCTCTCCTTTGCCAGTGCTTTGCACTAATTCCTGCCAGGCTGTGGAAGAGGATGGAGGCATGTTCTCAATCAAAGGATGGAGGCTTTGCAACAACTCAGTTTAGGAGTCAAAGGAACAAGACAGACAACCACACACTCAAGGTGCCAGTCCTCATTAGACTCCCAAAAACATGTTGCAATAGCACCAGGAACATTTGGGAACGCCAGGGTCCCATTCTCTTCGCTTGGTGTTGTGCCAGGAAATCGTCCTAGCAAAAGGAACCGCATTTCTCCTGAGTATTTTATTTTTTAAATATAAAACCTGCTGCTGTTTGTAAAATGAAATTAAAACTCCACCTCCTGATGAAACCTGCTTAAACTGCTGAGACAAATAAATGTTACACAAGACCCCCGGAGCAAGATTTAAGGGTTTGAGGACACACTTTACAGGGTCTCTGTTCCCTTTTAGGATAATGAGGCACAGCAGAGACTGTGGTGTCTTTATGAGACAAGGTTTTCTTTGTATGTGTGCCTGGGCATGCAAACATGCTGCCTTTGTGTCAAAATCCCTGAAGAGTGGAGTCCTCATCTCCTTTTCCAAAGCTGAGCTTTCTGCCTCCATCCACTGAGATAATGGAACAAGAAATTCGGAGCAGGAAACGGGCATGGTTGGGACCCTTCCACGGTTTATTTCAAATGCTAAAAAAACCCCACAGGTTACGAGGCATTCAAAAGGAAATACAGTGGTACCTCGGGTTACAGACGCTTCAGGTTACAGACGATTCAGGTTACAGACTCCACTAACCCAGAAATAGTACCTTGGGTTAAGAACTTTGCTTCAGGATGAGAACAGAAATCGTGCTCCGGCGGCGCAGCAGCAGCAGGAGGCCCCATTAGCTAAAGTGGTACCCAGGTTAAAAACAGTTTCAGGTTAAGAACGGAACTCCAGAACAAATTCAATTCTTAACCCGAGGTATCACTGTATTAGTTTGGTTGAGGGTTGTAGCACCTTCATTTTAGGCCCTGCATTTTAGTCCTGCGTGAGTGTCTGGAGGCGGTTGGAGGATGGATGGTGGTGGACAGATTGAGGTTGAATCCTGATGAGACAGAAGTACTGTTTTGGGGGGACAGGGGGCAGGCAGGTGTGGAGGACTCCCTGCTCCTGAATGGGGTAACTGTGCCCCTGAAGGACCAGGTGCGCAGCTTGGGAGTCATTAATGCATAAGCAACACAGCACTTGTTTCAAGTAAGAGAAGCAAAATGAGCGCACCAAAAAGTGTCAGCCTTGTCAATGTCATGGGACATCAGGGAGAAGAATCATAGTGAATAATCTCTCTCTCTTTGCTTTCAGGTTGAATTCAGCAATGAACAGCTTGAAGGTTAGTAACTTTTCTGTCTTTCACAAATCCCCCTGTTCTCTGAAGCAATGTTAACAGTTATTCCAGAGAGAGAGAGAAAGAGAGAGAGAGAGAGAATCATAGAATTGAAGAGATGTTTGCTCCATCTTCCATGAGACAGCCTTTGCGATATTTCAAGATGGCTCTCATATCTCTGCCTCTTCTCCAGGCTGAACATACCCAATTCCTTCAACCGTTCCTCATCAGGCTTGGTTTCCAGACCCTTGACCATCTTGGTCGCCCTCATCTGCACACCTTCCAGCTTGTCAACATCCTTCTTAAACTGAGGTGCCCAGAATTAGACACAGTATTCCAGGTGTGGTCTGACCAAGGCAGAAAAGAGTAGGACTATGACTTTCCTTGATCTTGATCTGGATCAGGGCCGGATTTAGGTTTGATGTGGCCCTAAGCTACTGACAGTAATGGGGCCCTTTATATGTCCAGCTGTCCTTCATCAACAGCAAATTGTCACTGTGTTGACTATATGCTATATGGTAATTTATGGACCTGATAGGTATCTCAAGCCATTTGCACATGTTGTCTGCAACCAGGCCATGCAGAATGTAGGCACCCTATATATAGAAATGAGCAAACCAGTGATATTTTAGGGAGCAGAGTAGTAGTAGTAGTAGTAGTAATAATAATAATAATAATAATAATAATAATAATAATTTATACCCCATCCATCTGGCTGGGTTTCCCCAGCCACTCTGGGTGGCTTCCAACAAAACACTAAAATACAATAACCTATTAAACAATAAAAGCTTCCCTAAACAGGGCTGCCTTCAGATGTCTTCTAAAAGTTTGGTAGTTATTTTTCTCTTTGACATCTGTTGGGAGGGCGTTCCACAGGGTGGGTGCCACTACCGAGAAGGCCCTCTGCCTGGTTCCCTGTAACTTGGCTTCTCGTAGCAAGGGAACTGCCAGAAGGCCCTTGGCGCTGGACCTCAGTATCCGGGCAGAACGATGGAGGTGGAGACGCTCCTTCAGGTATACTGGACCAAGGCCGTTTAGGGCTTTAAAGGTCAGCACCAACACTTTGAATTGTGCTTGGAAATGTACTGGGAGTCAATGTAGATCTTTCAAGACCAGTGTTATGTGGCCCTGTGGCCGCTCCCAGTCACCAGTCTAGCTGCCACATTGTGGATTAGTTGTTGTTTCCAGGTCACCTTCACAGGTAGCCCCACGTAGAGCACATTGCAGTAGTCCAAGCGAGAGATAACCAGAGCATGCACCACTCTGGTGAGACAGTACGCAGGCAGGGAGGGTCTCAGCCTGCGTACCAGATGGAGCTGATAAACAGCTGCCCTGGATACAGAATTTACCTCCATGGACAGCTGTGAGTCCATGCGGGGCCCATGACTTGCATCATAGGAGCCTTGATCATCTTGGTCGCATTTAAGTTTGCAAACCAGGGAAGCCCAAAGGGTTGGATCAGCACCCCACTCTCTCATGTGTTAAGCACATTTACCACATGGCAGCCCACCCCCGTTCTGTACAGCTTTCCTCCCCAGCGTTTGACAGCCCAAACAACAACCTCATCTGTTTCCATACGCTCTTTAGATTAAAATATTTTGGCTCCCCCCCGCCGCCCCTTTGCAAAATCTGGCATGGCTGTGTCGCAAGGATGCAGCGCCTCTTGAAAGACTCCTGTTTTCTTTCTCCTGCTTTCGGCTTGTTGCAAAGGCAGACCTTCCGTGGAGGAGAAGTCTCTCAATGACCTATAGGCATGAAGGGTCTGGAAACGAAGCCTTATGAGGAATGGTTGAAGGAGCTGGGTATGTTTAGCCTGGAAAAGAGGAGACTGAGAGGAGATATATGAGAGCCATCTTCAAATATCTCAAGGGCTGTGACATGGAAGATGGAGCAAGCTTGTTTTCTCCTGTTCTGGAGGGTAGAACTCGAACCCATGGCTTCAAGTGACAAGGAAGGAGATTCTGACGAAACATCTGGGGAAATTTTCTGAGCTGTTGGAAAAGTGAGAAAGACTCCCATGAGAAGTTGTGGACTCTCCTTCCCTGGAGGTATTAAAGCAGATGTTGGATGGCCATCTCTCATGGATGCTTTAGCTGAGATTTCAGCATTGCAGAAGGTTGGACTAGATCAGTGTTTCCCAACCTTGGGTCTCCAGCTGTTTTCGGACTACAATTCCCATCATCCCTGACCACTGGTCTTGCTAGCTAGGGATGATGGGAGTTGTAGTCCAAAAACAGTTGAAGACCCAAGGTTGGGAAACACTGGACTAGATGATCCTTAGGCCCCTTCCAATTCTAAGATTCTATGATTTGCTGGAAGCCACGGGAAGGGAGAAGGATCTTGAATTCGTGTCCTGCTTGTGGGTTTCCCACAGGCCAAGGACCGCTTTATTCCAGCATCCTGTTCCCACAGTGGCCAAGCAGATGCCTTTGGGGAACATGCAAGAAGCAGGATTTAAGCCGAAGAGCCACTCTTCCCTTCTGTGGCTTCCAACAACTGGTTGTTGTTGTATAGTCGTTTTGTCATGTCCAACTCTTCGTGTAAATTCTGTTTCTAAAGGAGTTTTTGTAATTGCCAAATGCCAATGTGTTTGCATTATTAAGTTTGTTATGAATAGAAAATCATTTTAAGTTAGAGCTTAATAATTATTTCACTATTAATATACTTCTTGCTGAGCATTGGATACAACCCATCGTTTTGAAACCTTAAGAAAGCAAAAGCTTCTAGGCGAGACAAATTGTATATGGTGACTAGTGGGGTGCCACAGGGTTCTGTCTTGGGCCCGGTCTTATTCAACATCTTTATCAACGACTTGGATGATGGACTCAAGGGCATCCTGATCAAATTTGCAGATGACACCAAACTGGGAGGGGTGGCTAACACCCCAGAGGACAGGATCACCCTTCAAAACGACCTTGACAGATTAGAGAACTGGGCCAAAACAAACAAGATGAATTTTAACAGGGAAATTGTAAAGTAGTGCACTTGGGCCAAAAAAATGAGAGGCACAAATACAAGATGGGTGACACCTGGCTTGAGAGCAGTACATGTGAAAAGGATCTAGGAGTCTTGGTTGACCACAAACTTGACATGAGCCAACAGTGTGACGCGGCAGCTAAAAAAGCCAATGCAATTCTGGGCTGCATCAATAGGTGTATAGCATCTAGATCAAGGGAAGTAATAGTGCCACTGTATTCTGCTCTGGTCAGACCTCACCTGGAGTACTGTGTCCAGTTCTGGGCACCACAGTTCAAGAAGGACACTGACAAACTGGAACGTGTCCAGAGGAGGGCAACCAAAATGGTCAAAGGCCTGGAAACGATGCCTTAGGAGGAACGGCTAAGGGAGCTGGGCATGTTTAGCCTGGAGAAGAGGAGGTTAAGGGGTGATATGATAGCCATGTTCAAATATATAAAAGGATGTCACATAGAGGAGGGAGAAAGGTTGTTTTCTGCTGCTCCAGAGAAGCGGACACGGAGCAATGGATCCAAACTACAAGAAAGAAGATTCCACCTAAACATTAGGAAGAACTTCCTGACAGTAAGAGCTGTTCGACAGTGGAATTTGCTGCCAAGGAGTGTGGTGGAGTCTCCTTCTTTGGAGGTCTTTAAGCAGAGGCTTGACAACCATATGTCAGGAGTGCTCTGATGGTGTTTCCTGCTTGGCAGGGGGTTGGACTCGATGGCCCTTGTGGTCTCTTCCAACTCTATGATTCTATGATTCTATGGTCATTGCTCTGGGGCTTCTGGGGGATTTGACCCAGATTGCCTTCCCGAAGCCTTTTCTCCTTCTTTTGGGAAGCCGTTCCCCAGAACCCCATCCCACTATCTGTGGTCAGCAAAGCCAGAGCTTTTTCTCAATGGCTTCTCCATGAACCCAGTGGATCCTGCTGACAAGGAGTTTAGATAATGATAGGCCCAAACGAAAGCAGAAGAAGAGGCTGATATTTTTATTTTTCATTATTATTCTTTTGAAAAGTTTCCATGTTTGTTCAGCTGCCACAGAGTGGGAGCTGCTGCCGCTGCTGCCATCATGTTCCCTTGTTTAAAAAATGAAATAACAGGCCTTGCGTCTGGGATTCTTTGCCGACAACAGGGTGGAAATAGAACCTTTCATTGGGCAAACTCTGCGAGGGAGGCTGCATCAAAGAGTCTGGTGTTGCGATTTCAGGGTCGAAATGGCAATTGTGGCGGGTAGAAATCACAGAATCGTTGAATTGAAGAGTTGGAAGAGATTCCAAGGGTTATCTCATTCAACCTCCTGCAATTCAGGAATCTCAGTTGAAGCATCCATGACAGATGGCCACCTAACGTATGCTTAAAAACCTCCCATCCAGCCAAGCCGGATAGACAATATTGAGCTGTATGGTATGGTTACCAGATGTCCCCGTTTTCCTGGGGACAGTCCCCAGATTTACAAATCCGTCCCCGGACAAAATCCATCCCTGGAATGTCCCCGGATTTCATTTAACGTCCCCGGATTTGTATTTTAAGTGTTGTAGATTTATTAGTGGGGACGTGGGTGGCGCTGTGGGTTAAACCACAGAGCCTAGGACTTGCTGATCAGAAGGTCGGCGGTTCGAATCCCCACGACGGGGTGAGCTCCCGTTGCTCGGTCCCAGCTCCTGCCAACCTAGCAGTTTGAAAGCACATCAAAAGTGTAAGTAGATAAATAGGTACCACTCCGGCGGGAAGGTAAACAGAGTTTCTGTGCACTGCTCTGGTTCGCCAGAAGTGGCTTAGTCATGCTGGCCACATGACCCGGAAGCTGTACGCTGGCTCCCTTGGCCAATGAAGCGAGATGAGCGCCGCAACCCCAGAGTCGGCCACGACTGGACCTAATGGTCAGGGGTCCCTTTACCTTTACCTAGTGTCCCATTCAAGGGAAGTAATAGTCCTGCTCTATTCTGTCTTGGACACCTAGAGTCCTGAGCCCAATTCTGGGCACCACAGTTTAAGAAGGCTAAGACAAGTGTGATGACCAAGTGTGATGGTCTGGGACTTGGGATCGGACTTGGAACCATACGAGACTCAGTCTGCACCGAATCCTTTGCCTCAGGCAGCATCTGAACCTAGTCTGGGGCCTGATCCTGAAGAGTCCCAGTCTGCACAGGTTCCCCTGCAACAAACCCCATCTGGGCCGAGTCAGGGGCCTGAGCCTGCCCTGGTTCCAGATGTGGGGGTGACCTCGTTGCCTCCAGCTGGACCATCACTTACAGCTGCTCCACTACCAGTTGGGTCAGGAGAGGCTGAGGCGGCCCCTGGGTCTAGTAACCCACCGACGTCTCCCGAGCTGCAGAGACTGAGGTCTGAGAGAAGGAGAGACCTGAGTACTTGCAGGAGGAGTGCTCGCCTTCGGGCAAGACAGGGAGGTGAGTCGCCGGGGGATCAGGACCGGCTGTCTCCCCAACAAAGATAAAAGCCTGTCGGACCCTGCCCCAGGTTGTGGGAGCAACATTGCTGTATGCCAGAACCTGCCTGAGATCCGATGCCTGTCCTTGCCTGGTTTCCTGCCTCGTGTCCTGCCTTGGCCCTGTTGGACTGACTCCTTGCGGAACCCTTGGATTTGGGACCAGACCTGGACTGCGTTGCTCGGGTTACCCCCAGGCCCAGCACATCAAGGGTCTGGAGAATGAGCCTTATGAGGAACAGCAGAGGGATTTGGGTATGTTTTGCCTGCAAATGAGCGGACTGGAAGGAGATGTGATAGGCACCTTCAAATATCTCAAGGGCTGTCCCATGGAAGAGGATGCAAGCTTGCTTTCTCCTGCTCCTGGAGGGTAGGACTCGAACCCATGGCTTCAAGTTACAAGAAAGGAGATTCCGACTCAAGATCAGAAAGAACTTTCTGGCAATAAGAGCTGTTTGATGGTGGAACGGACTCCTTTGCTCCTTTGGAAGGTGGCGGGCGCTCCTTCCTTGGGGGTTTTTAAGTAGAGGGTGGGTGGCCATCAGTCATGGATGCTTCCATTGAGATTCCTGCATTGCAGGGAGTTGGACTAATTGATCCCTATCCTCCACCAGGGCCAGGGCCTTCTCGGTGGTGGCTCCAACCTGGTGGAATGCTCTGTCCCATGACACCAGGGCCTTGCAGGATTTAACTTCCTTCCTCAGGACCTGTAAGACAGAGCTATTCCGCCTGGCTTTCAGTTTGAACTTAGCCTGATCTTTTGTTCCCCTTCCTTCCCTCCCCCTCCCCTTTTTATGAAGATCACCCGCTCTGGGATCCCACATCTAATTCTCTGCTTGTCTCCTCGCTGGCCCAAATAGGACTAATTTAGTCAGCTAGCCCTGGCGATCATCTAATGTTTATTGGATGGATTTCCCCCCTAAATTGATTTTTAAATTCTGAATTTATTGTTATTCACGTTTTATACTGTATTTTATGCTGGGTTTTTTTGTTGCATCAATTAAGTGTTTTAAATTTGTTGTTAGCCACCCTGAGCCTGGTTTTCTGAACCGGGAATGGCGGGGTATAAATTATTATTATTATTATTATTATTATTATTATTATTATTACGATTCTACGATTTGTCCCTGTTTCAATTGGTGGCGGTGTCTGTTGTGCATCATTCTCCCACTGGTCCCTGACTGCTATTCCTTTCTCTTTCTCGGAGCAGTCAGATAGGTGATCCCAGCCAACGGGGGTCTCGTATTGATCAGGATTACATCACAAAGGTGACCGTCAGGTCTTGCAGCATGATGACCTCAGTGGCAGCAAGGGAAGTCCATTAAGTGCGAGATTAAGCCAGGGCTGTGTGCAAAATACTGTGGGAAACATGTCGGGAAAGGAAGAAAAATCATTGCTGCCACACACACACTCTGCAATTTAAGCCTTGTCTGTCAAGGTATCAGGCAAAACGATACGTTGCATTTCATCTCGGCTGAAATGAATTTGAAATGCGTATTTTGCATGTGAAAAAATAGACAGGAAAAGCAGATGTCAAGCAGATGCTTGCTGCACAGATTTCAAGAAGCAAAACACATCAAAAAATAGATCCATAACACGCATCGTGACGAGAGGGCCTGTCAATTTTTGCTTTCAGTTCCTCATTTTTTCCAGGCTAAGTTGAGTTCATTGCATTTCATCATTGATTTCTGATTTTTTTTTTACAAAGAGGTTTTCATAAAATTTTTATCAGCATCTTAGTTTGTACTTCTCCCAATATTCCTGCATGCAGTTTTACCTAACGTACAAAGCTATTCAAGCAAACAGTGAGTTTGGGCTTATTTTCATTAGTATGTGCATTTTAACGCACACTTTTCTCTAATAATAATAATAATAATAATAATAATAATAATAATAATATATTTATACCCCACCCATCTGGCTGGGTTTCCCCAGCCACTCTGGGCGGCTTCCAACAGAATATTAAAATACAATAATAAAATAATATATATGCATTTTTGCACACACATTTTGCACACACGTTTTGGATTGGAGAATTGCATCACAAAATTTGGGAAATGGCGGATTTCAAAGGACAGCCCTGCTTCAGTTCACAAATTTGTTCCCTCAGTGCAAACTGGCTTGGAGCTGTAGCCGTTTGGAAAGTGCCGGGTTGGGGAAGCTTAAATTAGAGGCGATTCATAGACTGCCCCTTTGCACAAGCCAGGCGATGGTTTACCAAAACATACAATTAAAGTATAAATCTGTAACATAATACCCCTCCAAACGAAATTCAACGCACAGCAGTGCGTAGCAATTGACGAAGAGCAGCAGCTGCAAGCTAATCGTATTTTGTTACAGGGCGTGTGAATTAGGATTTCTCCCCCATCGCTAAACAGCAGTAGGCCATAGAATCATAGAGTTGGAAGGGGACCCTGGCGATCATCTAGTCCAACCCCCTGCAATGCAGGAATATACATCTGTCCCTTAAAGGGATTGAACAACCTTGGCATTACCAGCACCACGCTCTAGGCAAGCTGTTAGAATTAGCTCCGAGTCCTTTTGTTTCTCTACTCACCCACTCTTTCTGTCTTCACAATAGCCCTGTGAGGTAGGTTAACCTTCGAAACAAAACAAACCCAACCGCCCTATAATGAACCCAAAGTTGTTCAGCGGGTTTTATGGTGTGCTGAGAGATGGCTCTACAAACAGCTTTGTTGTTGTTGTTGCTGTTGTTGCTTAGTTGTTTAGTCGTTTAGTCGTGTCTGACTCTTCGTGACCCCATGGGCCAGAGCACGCCAGCCACTCCTGTCTTCCACTGCCTCCCACAGTTTGGTCAAACTCATGCTGGTAGCTTCGAGAACACTGTCCAACCATCTCGTCCTCTGTTGTCTCCTTCTCCTTCTGCCCTCCATCTTTCCCAACATCAGGGTCTTTTCCAGGGAGTCTTCTCTTCTCATGAGGTGGCCAAAGTCTTGGAGCCTCAGCTTCAGGATCTGTCCTTCCAGTGAGCGCTCAGGGCTGATTTCCTTCAGAATGGAGAGGTTTGATCTTCTTGCAGTCCATGGGACTCTCAAGAGTCTCCTCCAGCACCAGAATTCAAAAGCATCAATTCTTCGGCTATCAGCCTTCTTTATGGTCCAGCTCTCGAACTGAGCGACCTTTTGGCTTTGGCCCAGCCGCTTCATCAGCTCTGAATCTACTTGTACTTGTCCTCCACTCTTCCTCAGTAGCATGTTTGACGCCTTCCGACCTGAGGGGCTCATCTTCCAGCGTCATAACTTTTATACGCCTGTTGTCTTTGTCCATGGAGTTTTCTTGGCAGGGATACTGGAGTGGCTTGCCGGTTCCTGCTCCAGGTGGATCACGTTTGGTCAAAACTCTCCACTATGACTTGTCCATCTTGGGTGCCCTGCATGGCATAGTTCATAGCTTCTCTGAGTTGTTCAAGCCCCTTCGCCACGACAAGGCAGTGATCCATGAAGGGGACAAACAGCTTATAAATACTAATACAGTGGATGCTCAGGTTGTGAACGTGATGCGTGCGGGAAGTACATTCGCAACCCACAGTGCCGTGTCTGCTCACGTGCGGGTTGCGATTCAGCACTTCTGTGGATGCGCAAAGTGCAATTTAGCACTTCTGTGCATGTGCAAGCACCGAAACCCAGAAGTAACCCATTTCAGTACTTCCAGGTTCGGCACAGTGCGCAACCTGAAATCATGCAACCCGAAGTGTCTGTAACCCGAGGTATGACTGTAGTAGTAGTAGTAGCATTAACAACAACAACAATAACAACAACAACAACTTTGGCATTACAGTCATACCTCATTTACAGACGCTTCAGGTTACGTGTTTAAGGGTTGTGGACCGTGGGAAACCCAGAAGTACTGAAACGGGTTACTTCCGGCTTTTGCCGCTTGCGCATGCGCAGAAGCGCCAAATCGTGCCACCGCAGACGCGGCGCTTCAGGATGCGAATGCTGCAGGTTGTGGACGTGCCTCCGTCACGGATTACATCCGCAACCAGAGGTTCCACTGTATCAGCACCATGCTCTAACCAACTGGCATACAAGGTCAGAAACCTCCAATCCTGTAAGCCCAACCTAGAATTGTGTCCAGGTTCCCAGATGATCTGCCCTCCGTACCACTTAGAATCATAGAATCATAGAGTTGGAAGAGACCACAAGGGCCATCGAGTCCAACCCCCTGCCAAGCAGGAAACACCATCAGAGCACTCCTGACATATGGTTGTCAAGCCTCTGCTTAAAGACCTCAGAGTGAATATGTGGCCTCTCAAAGACTTCTGCTATGAATCAGTCCCTGCATTGAAAAAAGTAGCATGGAAGCCAAAGGCTAGCTTGAAGTCTTTACTCTTATGTGCTACATTTCTATGTGCGGTGATTTTTGGGGGGGGGCATTCAGAAATGTTGTGGCATGAAGTGATAAAACCAAGACACAGACAGACCACCTCACTAGGTAAAGGTAAACGGACCCCTGGCCATTAGGTCCAGTCGTGACTGACTCTGGGGTTGCGGCGCTCATCTCGCTTTACTGGCTGAGGGAGCTGGCGTACAGCTTCCGGGTCATGTGGCCAGCATGACTAAGCCACTTCTGGCAAACCAGAGCAGCGCACGGAAACTCTGTTTACCTTCCCGCCGGAGCGGTACCTACTTATCTACTTGCACTTTGTCGTGCTTTCAAACTGCTAGGTGGGCAGGAGCAGGGACCGAGCAACGGGAGCTCACCCCGTCGCGGGGATTCAAACCGCCGACCTTCTGATCGGCAAGTCCTAGGCTCTGTGGTTTAACCCACAGCGCCACCTCACTAGCCATTAGCTAATGAACCCTCATTGCCACAGACGCCCATAATGCCTATTTAATTATAGAGATGTTAGAGACGAAGTGGGATGTGCTTGTGGTGTTTTCATTTTATTTATTTTTTTGCACTGAGGACTGCTGTCCTGCCCTGGAACGCCTCAGAGGTCAATTTCTGACATGGGTTTCTGAGCAATTCCTGATTTTTCCTAGCCTCCTGACCTGGTTCTTTCTCCGTTGCAGTTCCTCCAGGATGTCCACAGGAGATGGAATGTAAACATCTCTGATATCCAGATCAACAGCGAAGTTCATAAAAAAATAAAAATAAAATAAAAACAAAACACAGGGGGTCAGGATCCCTTGAAAATAATAATGCTTAATGAAGGCTTGTCTTTTTCATAAACAACTTTTTCCACGATCGCATCCATTCCTTGTTACCTTTCCCTTCCTTTCTTCTCTCCCACTTCTTCAACAAGCATTTTGTGTGTTTCCCCTCTCCTATACAGAATTCAAGGAAGTCTTCATGCTCTTTGACCGAACCCCGAAAGGGGAAGGGAAAATCACGTACGCGCAGTGCGGAGACGTCTTGAGGGCTTGCGGGACAAATCCCACCCAGGCGGAAGTTCTCAAAGTCCTCGGCCGGCCCAAACCTGATGGTGAGAGACTTCTTGTCCTGTTTTCGTGACGGCAACTTCACCGGACAGGTTTCACTTCTCAGATCTGTCTTAGGAGTGTTGGTGCCAATGAGCTACAGGCTATTGAGGAGGGGTCTCACTCTGACATTTTATTCCATCACACACCATCTATGTATAACACCGGTCTTGAAAGACCTACATTGGCTCCCAGTACGTTTCTGAGCACAATTCAAAGCGTTGGTGCTGACGCTGAAAGCCCTAAATGGCCTTGGCCCAGTATACCTGAAGGAGCGTCTCCACCCCCATCGTTCTGCCCGGACACTGAGGTCCAGCTCTGAGGGCCTTCTGGCGGTTCCCTCCCTGAGATGAGTGAGGTTACAGGGAACCAGGCAGAGGGCCTTCTCGGTGGTGGCGCCCGCCCTGTGGAACGCCCAGACACTGAGGCATAGCTGTCAACTTTTTCCTTTTCTTGTGAGGAATCCTATTCGGAATAAGGGAATTTTCCTTAAAAAAAGGGAAAAGTTGACAGCTATGCACTGATGTCCAGCTCCGAGGGCCTTCTGGCGGTTCCCTCCCTGCGAGAAACCAAGTTACAAGGAACCAGGCAGAGGGCCTTCTCTGTGGTGGCACCCACCTTGTGGAACACCCTCCCACCATATGTCAAGGAAATAAACAACTATCTGACTTTTAGAAGACATCTGAAGGCAGCCCTGTTTAGGGAATTTTTTCATGTTTGATGTGTTATCGTGTTTTTAATTTTCTGTTAGGAGCTGCCCAAAGGGGTTGGGGAAACCCAGCCAGATGGGTGGGGTATAAATAATAAAATAAGATGGTGGTGGCGGCAGTGGTGATGATGTAGCCCTTACTGTGATCTCAGAGCCTTCCTGTTATATTTTGGGTGTTCCCCTCGTTCCTTATCGTTTGCATCCTTAACTTGTATTTGAAACCGATGGCCAGCTCTAACCCGGTTTCCTGTTTGTCCATCCTCAGAAATGAACAACAAGATGTTAGACTTCGACACCTTCCTGCCCATGCTCCAGCACATCTCCAAAGCCAAAGACACCGGGACCTACGAGGATTTCGTGGAAGGCCTGCGGGTTTTCGACAAGGAAGGGAACGGCAAGGTCATGGGAGCAGAACTTCGCCATGTTTTGGCCACTCTGGGTAAGCGGATCTATAGTCCTACAACACAGCCCTCTAAGCCGATTTTGCTGGAATCGTAGACTCACAGAACTGTGGCTTTTGTTCTGTATTTTTTATCTTGTGAACTGCCTTGAGATTTTCAGATGAAGGGTGGTATGTAGATTTAAGAAATAAAATAAATACATAGTTGGAAGGATCATTATCATCATTAAGATTTACCTTATTTTTCACCCTATAGGATGCACTTTTTCCCCTCCAAAAATGAAGGGGAAATGTGTGTGCGTCCTATGGGGCGAATACAGGCTTCAGGAAGCTCTGCTCAACCCTCGAGAGCCCGGCGTGAAGCCGTGCCGGGCTCCGGAGGGTTGCACGGAGCTGCCTGTATTCCGAAGCCTCGGGCGCACTGAAGAGCGCGCCCGGGCTTCACGCAGCTCTCCGCAAGCCTGGGGAGACCAGCGCGGCTCCCTAGGCTTGCGGATAGCAGGCTGTTCTGGGGGCTGGGGTCAAGCCTGTGCCTGGGGGGGAAATATTTTTTTTTCCGTTTATTTCCCCCCCCCCCCAAAAAAACCTAGGTGCATCCTATGGGGCGGTGCGTCCTATGGGGCGAAAAATATGGTATATACCGCCATTCAACACAAGATCTCAGAGCAGTTCACAATGTAAACTAGCAGTGTACATTTTGTGATATATATTGATCTAATCGTAACGTATAACAAGCATGTAAGGGTGTCGTCACGCTGAAGTTCACTTGGCCACAGACAGGTGGCGCTGTGAATTACAGTGTAACGATGGAGGGGCAGGACTGCCACAACACCTTCTCCACTTTGTTCCAACATTTGAGAGGAGGGGGGGGTCACACGTCCCTCACCCACATTGAAAGATTATGGATTTGATCATGCATAGGGATGTGAGAATCGGTCAATTTTGATTTCTCTCCCCCCCGCCCCAGTCTTCTGTTAAGTTCTCCACATTTCCGTGTCAATTTATGGTTGACATTTTCAAAGCCACCACAAAAAAACACACCAGCAATTGGGTGCAAAAATATACACGCGTTCACGTGCAATTTTTGCCGAATTCGCACACTTTCGCAAAGTGTTTGTTCCCTAACAGAGTGCATTTTTTGCATGTTACTGTCTCCAATATATATATTTTCATGCACAATTTATTCCAGGATATGCCTTTCTTGTGATCATTATGCAAGGCTCTCCTCGGTGTTGTTCAGACCCTGCCGTTGGTGCAGAATGCTGCAGCGCAATTGCTGACAGGAGAGAGACCCTGTAAGGCATATCCAGATATGTAGAAGGTTGCCATGTGTCTTAATCTGTGTGTGTGTGTGTGTGTAAAGGGACCCCTGACCATTAGGTCCAGTCTTGACCGACTCTAGGGTTGTGGCGCTCATCTCGCTTTATTGGCTGAGGGAGCCGGCGTACAGCTTCCAGGTCATGTGGCCACCATGACTAAGCCGCTTCTGGTGAACCAGAGCAGCGCACGGAAACGCTGTTTACCTTCCCGCCGGAGTGGTACCTATTTATCTAGTTGCACTTTGACGTGCTTTCGAACTGCTAGGTTGGCAGGAGCCAGGACTGAGCAATGGGAGCTCACCCCGTCATGGGGATTCGAACCGCCGACCTTCTGATCGGCAAGTCCTAGGCTCTGTGGTTTAACCCACAGCGCCAGCCGCATCCACACACACACACACACACACACACACACATCATTTTCAACCATCATTTAACATATTTTCTTATCTTATACAATGTTTTGGACTTCCATCGGCCACCTCTGAAGATTTTTCAATCTTTATCACTTTATCTACATTTCTTAATTTTTCTATTACTTTTAATCGTCCTCAACTAATAACTCTCCTCATAATCTTCTCTGCAATATTTCGCACAGTCCCCCTTACAAAACGTCTTGCAGTCCTACTAGCGTAACCTGTTTATTGCAATTGCTTTTCAAATAGTTCAAATATTTACTCCAGTCCTCCAAGAATCTCTGGTCCTGCAAAGGGGATATTTAATTTGGCACATCTCCCCTGAGAATCTTCTGCTATTCTATTCTATTCTATTTAATGCAACAACTATTCTATTCTATTTAATGCAACAACTATTCTATTCTATTTAATGCAACAACTATTCTATTCTATTTAATGCAACAAATAATTTTAGTAGCCGTGACTGCGGTTTTATTGTATGTCTGTGCCTGATTATTTTTATGGTTATTGTTATTGTTTTTTCCCTTCCCCCCTTTTTGTTCTCCTTCTGAATAATGCCATGGCCTACTGCTAGTGCAATAAAAAGTTTAATTGGTTAAAAATAAAATATATGCAAACAGCTCTCTGTGCAGTCTTGAGGGCTAGAAAAACTTGTCCTTCATTTCCCTTTTCTTTGCAAAAAATGAAGTTATTGGGATAAGGAATTCTCCAGCCGGATGCTGTGATCAAAGTCGAGCGGGGCGAATGATGACTTCAGGGTTTCTGAATTTTCCGGCTTTGTTTCTGCTTGGAGATCACAGTTAATCTTGAGGGACCAAAGACTGTGAGCTGGAAGATGTTGCTCTAAGCACTCTGAAATTCCTCATTTTGATTGAAGAGGGAATGCCATGGTAGACAGTCAGAGAAAAAGTCTCTGAGCCATTTTGACACCCATCCTTCCTTTCATGATGTTTCTCTTCAAATCCTTTTTCTACTGCCTTAAACATAATACTGATTTCTGTAACATACATATTACATTCCTTTATCTATTTAAAAATTATTTATACTTTTCAGGTTTCTACATTTCACTGATTTTACAATCCTTTTTGACATTTCAAAACTTGACTTCCTCCCCTCTCTAAATTTATTTTTAATATCTTCTGCATATCCAAATTAACTTAATTTGCTCATTTATTCATCTACTTTAAATATGTACTTTAAACATATTACCATAATCATGCCAATGTTCTTATCTGTTTACAATTCATCTGTAAATATTCAACAAACCATTTCCATTCTTTTATTAAAAGTTTGTTATCCTGATTTCTTATTCTTCCGGTAAGTTTCGCCATTTCTGTATATTCCACAAGTTTTTGCATCCATTCCTCCTTTGCTGGGACTTCTGCTTCTTTCCATATTACATTCCTTTATCATTCTCATTCCTTTGTTTATATTTCCCTTCCTGCCTGCAATTTCATTTGACTATAATATTATCTCCAAAAAGGATCTCCGCTCTTCCACAAACATTTTATCTTGTCTCTTGTTTTTGCTGTTAATTTCACCATCTCAATATAGTCCAATGGTTTTAAAAGTCCACTCCTTTCTTGTTGGAACAACAACTTCTTTCCATTTCTGGGCATATAGAATTCTGGCTGCAGACATACCGTAATATGCAGATACATTTTAACCAATTTTTTTGGCCTGACTTGGCCAAAACTGGAATCTTGCCCCCCCAAATCAGTTAGTGATTCGAGCTTTGACCGAATCACATAGCCTTACTTGTAATTTCCTTTGGGCTCTTAACCCTGAAAATTTGAGTATTTAATTAATTTAATCTTTTTTTCTGTTCCAGGTGAAAGGCTGACAGAGGAGGAGGTCGATAAGCTAATGGCCGGCCAGGAAGACTCCAATGGTTGCATCAGCTACGAAGGTACAGTGGTGCCTTGGTTCTCAAACTTAACCCGTTCCAGAAGTCTGTTCCAAAACCAAAACGTTCCAAAACGAAGGCGCATTTTCCCATAGAAAGTAATGCAAAACGGATTAATCCATTCCAGACTTTTAAAAACCACCCCTAAAACAGGGGTGGTTTTTATGAATTTTACTATCTAACGAGACCACTGATCCATAAAATGAAAGCAACAATCAATGTACTGTACTATAAAATAAGACAGAATTGTAGATGATAAAAATTAAAACTAATTTTTTTTTCTTACCTAAACTGTTGATAGTCATTGTTTGGATGGGGGGCTTTTATCCATTTCTGCAGTCACACAATCAATCAATCGGTAGCTGAGCACAGTCACAAAAACAAATTAACTGAAAAGGCCTCAAAAACAAAAACACAAAATAAATAACCCTTATAGCACAGACTTAAGGTGGACTTTGGGAAGGAGGTGTGAGGCTCTGGCAGGGTCCTAGAGCCTTCCTACCTCTTTCCCAAAGCCTGGTAAGCGCTTGCCAAGTTTTGGGAAGGAGGAAGGAGAAGAAGAAGGGTTTGGATTTGATATCCCGCTTTATCACTACCCGAAGGAGTCTCAAAGCGGCTAACATTCTCCTTTCCCTTCCTCCCCCACAACAAACACTCTGTGAGGTGAGTGGGGCTGAGAGACTTCAGAGAAGTGTGACTAGCCCAAGGTCACCCAGCAGCTGTATGTGGAGGAGCAGGGACGTGAACCCAGTTCACCAGATTACGAGTCTACCGCTCTTAACCACTACACCACACTGGCTCTCACACTGGCTATCTTGTCAGAGTCCTCATGCCTCCTTCCCAAAGCCGGATAAGCGCTTCCTGGGCTTTGAGAAGCTGCCCTCCTTGGCTTTGCACCCGGTGCAACCACAACTGCTGTTCGCACTGCCCTAAACCCACCTCTGAGCTCAACGTGCTTCTCCTTTTACGCCATTTTACCCTCATAACATGCCTGCGAGGTAGGCTAGTCCAGGAGACAGAGCAGCCTTTCTCGGAATGAAGGTGCTCCCAGTTAAGGTTTCCACCCCAATCACTTCTGTGCCTTGCAACCCGATCTCGCAACCACTGTGCTTTTCATGTAGGTACCTTATCTGCTCTACGTGACCTTGGACTGATAGGCTGGACACTTTCCAGTTAGCTCTCTCTTCCAGTTATTCTTCACTTTGCTGTTCACCCCCCAGTTTGTCTCTGTGGGAATGTTCAGGGAGGCAGGAGAGGATATATTGTTTATTAATATCCTTCCTAACTTACGCTAGCAAGTTCCTTTACTTAGCAGAGTTTTATATTCCCCTTTTAAACGCACAGAGGGTAGCTGGTTGCAGGCTTCTGTAAGCCTCTCACTATCATACGAATTGTATGTTCCTGGTAAGTCCCCTTATATCCCTCTTCAAAGAATAAAGATGCCACAATCTTATGTAAAGTCAATAAAAGAAGTTTACTTACAACATCAGTTCACAGATGGATCCCTGAAGGCAGACTTACTTACTTAGTATATACATGTGGAGCTATCCCATAGGGCAGTGGTTCTCAACCTGTGGGTCCCCAGATGTTGTTGGACTACAACTCCCATCATCCCTGAGCTCTGGCCTTGCTAGCTAGGGGTGATGGGAGTTGTAGTTCAACAACATCTGGGGACCCGCAGGTTGAGAAAGGCTGCCATATGGGGATAATCCCAGTGTCCTCTGTTGGCTGGAAGCTAACAGAGTGTCTCTAGCTAAAAAGCTGCTCCGACGATGGAGGAAGTCAAAGAGAGAGAGAGAGTGCTACATGCCCTGTCCTTTTGTTACCTGGACAGGTGAGGTCACGCCCACCTCTAGTCACATGCAAAGGAAGTATGCCCCAGCCAGGAGGAAACAGGAAGTTTTCGACTGGCTGGAACAAACATTCCCCTGCATGTCCACTCTAGGAAAACAAGGAATGTTGTACTTGACTGCTACTTATGTATCACATCCCACAGTCTCAACTTTTGCCTTCAGAACTATGCCCCTCTGCAAACCGCTGCTCCATATCTATACTGCTCCATTGTTCCTGGGCAACTTCAGGATTCTGGTCAGGAGCAGCGGGAGGGAGACGTTCCCACCATTACTCATCAGAGCAGTACTCCTCAGCCTGGTCTTTGACACCCAGTGAGATTCATGACTGAGTCAGGATTCAGACCCTCATATCCCAAGCTCTAGCCCAACACTCTAACCATTATACAACACCACCTCTGAGACAGTAATGACTCTCTTCCTTTTTCCCCCCAGCGTTTGTGAAGCATATCATGGCAAGTTGAATGGCAGGTAAGCAGAACAAGGTCATCATTCTTTTGTTTTTGAAACCCCACCCCACCCACCACCCCAGATACGATAAGAAAATGTTTATTGTCATTGTCCCATACAGAACAACAAAATTGAAAAATCTACATCAGACATTCAAAAACCAACAATCCTGCTATCCCAGCCTAGTTAGCCCCCTAAAAACTCTGATACCCCATAATTAAATACAATATACTCACATAGAGACTACCTTACACTGCGTATAAAACCAAAATTGCATTTGGATAGAAACTGTTTCTCAGGCGGCTAGTCCTAGTCTTTATAACCCTGGACCTTCTTCCAGAAGGCAGAAGCTGAAAGAGATCTTCAATAGATCGATCCATATACAGCAAAAGGGTGAGGAAACTGTGATTCTCCAGATGTTGTGAAGTGATGGGAGTTGGCTTGCATCTAGAACATCTGGAGAGCTACAGTTATTCACAAAAGGTTGGTTTTGGGATGAATGGGACTATATTTATGTAGCTTTCCATTATTAGATAATTTCAGTGAAGGGCCCTTGCTGATTATCCAAAATGAAGGGCTTTATTTGACAAGATGGAATTGGTGCAGAGGAAGAAGACCAAGATGATCAAGGGTCTGGAAACCAAAACTTTTGAGGAATGGTTGAGAGAGATGGGTATGTGTAGCCTGGAGAAGAGGAGATATGAAAGGCCATCTTCCAATATCTGGAAGGGCTGTCCATGGAAGATGGAGCAAGCTTGCTTTCTGCTGCTCCTGAGGGTAGGAACCAAACCAACTGAGTCAAACGACAAGAATCAAGTGGTTTGGGTTTCAAGTACGCATTGGGAGGAACTTCCTGATGGTAAGAACTGTTCAACAGCAGAACAGATTTCCTTGGAAGGTGGTGGACTCTCCTTCCTTGGAGATTTTTCAATGGAGGTTGGATAATTAATAATAATAATAATAATAATAATAATAATAATAATAATAATAATTTATTATTTATACTCTACCCATCTGGCTAGGTTTCCCCAACCACTCTGGGTGGCTTCCAACAGACTATTAAAATACCATAGTCTATTAAACATTAAAAGCTTCCCTAAACAGGGCTGCCTTCAGATGTCTTCTAAAAGTCTGGTAGTTGTTTTTCTCTTTGACATCTGATGGAAGGGCGTTCCACAGGGTGGGCACCACTACTGAGAAGACCCTCTGCCTGCTTCCCTGTAACTTGGCTTCTCGCAGTGAGGGAACTGCCAGAAGGCCCTCGGAGCTGGACCTCAGTGTCTGGGCAGAACGATGGGGGTGGAGACTTTCCTTCAGGCATACTGGGCTGAGGCCGTTTAGGGCTTTAAAGGTCAGCACCATCACTTTGAATTGTGCTCAGAAACGTACTGGGAGCCACTGTAGGTCTTTCAGGACCGGCAGCCACTCCCAGTTACCAGTCTAGCTGCCGCATTCTGGATTAGTTGTAGTTTCCTGGTCACCTTCAAAGGTAGCCCCATGTAGAGCGCATTGCAGTAGTCCAAGCGGGAGATAACCAGAGCATGCACCACTCTGGCGAGACAGTCCACAGGCAGGTAGGGTCTCATCCTGCATACCAGATGGAGCTGGTAGACAACTGCCCTGGACACAGCACTGACCTGCGTCTCCATGAACAGCTGTGAGTCCAAAATGGCTCCCAGGCTGTGCACCAGGTCCTTCAGCGGCACAGTCACCCCACTCAGGACCAGGGAGTCCTCCACATAATCTGTCACGGATTCTTGAGCTGTGATGCCTGCATTGCAGGGGGTTGGACTACATGACCCTGTACCCCTCGAAGAGCTGCCATTCTCAGAGTGGTTTAACTATCAATCCCTGTTCCTAGGGAACTCTGGGAATTGTGGCTTTGGGCAGAGAATTGTTGTTGTTGTTGTTTAGTTGTGTCCGACTCTTCGTGACCCCATGGACCAGAGCACGCCAGGCACTCCTGTCCTCCACTGCCTCCCGCAGTTTGGTCAAACTCATGCTGGTAGCTTCAAGAACACTGTCCAACCATCTCGTCCTCTGCCGTCCCCTTCTCCTTGTGCCCTCCATCTTTCCCAGCATCAGGGTCTTTTCCAGGGAGTCTTCTCTTCTCCTGAGGTGGCCAAAGTCTTGGAGCCTCAGCTTCAGGATCTGTCCTTCCAGTGAGCACTCAGGGCTGATTTCCTTCAGAATGGAGAGGTTTGATCTTCTTGCAGTCCATGGGACTCTCAAGAGTCTCCTCCAGAACCATAGTTCAAAAGCATCCATTCTTCGGCGATCAGCCTTCTTTATGGTCCAGCTCTCACTTCCATACATCACTACGGGGAAAACCTTAGCTTTAACTATACGGACCTTTGTCGGCAAGGTGATGTCTCTGCTTTTAAGGAAGGATGTCTAGGTTTGTCACTGTGGGCAGAGAATAGGGACCTCCAAACAACTCTCAGCCCCCTGAACAAACTACAGCTCCCAGGATTCTTTGGGGCAAACGAGAGCTGTTTAAAGTGGTATCCTATAGCCTTAAATGTAGAACGCAGCCGATTTTGCCATTGCAAAGGAGCTCCGATCAGCTCTTCCACAGTCACTGAGTCCATATTTCTTCCTGGAAGAAAAACACACACAGAACAGCAACAGAAACATCTGATTTCTCAGAACCTCTGCTGATCTCTTTTAGGCTCTTTGGTGGGGGTGACCTAGGATGCAACCACAACTTTGTGGGCAAAGGGGGAAAAAACAATCTGTGTGTCTTAGATAAATTAGAAAACAATCCAAACTCTGTACTATCAGTTCCTGTTTTCCCGCTGCTCTGGTTTATTTATCTGTCGTTGCCTCCTGATCTTGTTTGCTCAGGGAGATCTGAAATTATCCCAGCTTGTGGGGCCGAAGCTCTTTAAAACATGGGTTTTCATCCGGTCAGCAAAACCCCAGGGAGAGAGCAAACCAGAGGAGAAGATAAAGTCAGGATGCTGAGTTCGAGTGAATGGCAAGGAGAAAGAGGACAGAGGACAGTTTTCTTCCCTCTCTTCTCAAGGGCATGGAACGCAGCTGAGAGCTGGAAGATTTGGGCAGATAAACGATGGACTTATTCACGTACCACAGAGTTAAGCTATGGAACTCTCACAGGAGTCAGGGACAGCCGCCAATGTGGGTGGCTTTAACAGAGGATTGGGCAAATTTGTGGAGGAAGAGAGAAGGGCCACCGATGACTTGTAGCCAGGAGGGCTATGCTGAGATTTCACAGAGCCAGGAAATCCTTCTGAATTCCTCAGTGTGGACTGAGACCCCCCCTGGTTCCGAGTCTGAGCCCGAGTCCCAGGGCATCACACTGATGTTCTTAGACTCTTTGCCCTGCAATAGCTAATCCATCGTCAAAGCATATTCTTAGATGAGTGACTAGTGGGGTGCCACAGGGTTCTGTCTTGGGCCCGGTCTTATTCAACATCTTTATCAACGACTTGGATGATGGACTCAAGGGCATCCTGATCAAATTTGCAGATGACACCAAACTGGGAGGGGTGGCTAACACCCCAGAGGACAGGATCACACTTCAAAATGACCTTGACAGATTAGAGAACTGGGCCAAAACAAACAAGATGAATTTTAACAGGGAGAAATGTAAAGTATTGCACTTGGGCAAAAAAAATGAGAGGCACAAATACAAGATGGGTGACACCTGGCTTGAGAGCAGTACATGTGAAAAGGATCTAGGAGTCTTGGTTGACCACAAACTTGACATGAGCCAACAGTGTGACACGGCAGCTAAATAGCCAATGCAATTCTGGGCTGCATCAATAGGAGTATAGCATCTAGATCAAGGGAAGTAATAGTGCCACTGTATTCTGCTCTGGTCAGACCTCACCTGGAGTACTGTGTCCAGTTCTGGGCACCACAGTTCAAGAAGGACACTGACAAACTGGAACGTGTCCAGAGGAGGGCAACCAAAATGGTCAAAGGCCTGGAAACGATGCCTTAGGAGGAACGGCTAAGGGAGCTGGGCATGTTTAGCCTGGAGAAGAGGAGGTTAAGGGGTGATATGATAGCCATGTTCAAATATATAAAAGGATGTCACATAGAGGAGGGAGAAAGGTTGTTTTCTGCTGCTCCAGAGAAGCGGACACGGAGCAATGGATCCAAACTACAAGAAAGAAGATTCCACCTAAACATTAGGAAGAACTTCCTGACAGTAAGAGCTGTTTGACAGTGGAATTTGCTGCCAAGGAGTGTGGTGGAGTCTCCTTCTTTGGAGGTCTTTAAGCAGAGGCTTGACAACCATATGTCAGGAGTGCTCTGATGGTGTTTCCTGCTTGGCAGGGGGTTGGACTCGATGGCCCTTGTGGTCTCTTCCAACTCTGATTCTATGATTCTTTTCTGTTTGTATCAGCTTCCCTGTCTCAACCCCCCACCTTCCCTGGGATGGATGTGGGGGGAGAAATTTGGTTCTGTTCACACCTGAAGGCACACCTACCTCCTCGAAAACAATACACAAACCATAAACTAAAAAAAAAAAAAAAGCACTTCCCTGAATTTTGCAAGGTTCTTTTCTGGCTAAGGAACACCTACCCCCAAAAAATGTCTATACAGTGGTACCTCGGGTTACAGACGCTTCAGGTTACAGACTCCGCTAACCCAGAAATAGTACCTCGGGTTAAGAACTTTGCATCAGGATGAGAACAGAAATCGGGCTCTGGCGGCGCAGCAGCAGCAGCAGCAGGCCCCATTAGCTAAAGTGGTGCTTCAGGTTAAGAACAGTTTCAGGTTAAGAACGGACCTCCGGAATGAATTAAGTACTTAACCCGAGGTACCACTGTACTAGGGTAATGCATGCAGAAGAAGATACAAAATGCATCACCAATTGGGGCGATTTGCTGGCAAGATGTGTACTCTGGACAAGATGGATTATAAGAATGTGTGCATAAGGAGAAAATTGCTGCATGATGCTGAACTGAAAATTACTCAAAAGGACTTTTTTTAAAAAAAATCGGAAACTGATGTGGAAATTTGGACTGAACCTAAGGCTGGAAAAATAAGGAGCAGAAAGAAAACGAAAATGTTTTCCCTCGTCCTTCCTTCTTTTCCTTTCATCACAGCAAATTACTGTATTATTCTGATCTTCCTTTTGGAAGTACGTGATAGAGACCAGAAAAAATTGTTTGGTCTGCTTTCCACAGTGGACCAATCAGATTTGAGGCTTCCAAACTTGCTCAAGACCCTGTGAGATGCACATTTCTCTGGATTTGCTGAAGCAGCATTTAATGAAGCAGTTGGTAGTGTGCAAAAGATGAACACAGAAAATATATACCGGTATTTTATGTTAAAATCTAATAGAAAAAAGTATGAAAGAGTTGAAAAGCACCGAAGGATTCTTATTTTACATTTTTAGAAATGTGTAGTTTACATTGCAAACGAGCACATTTTAAATGTGTGCACAACTTTTGCATGCGCACATCTTTTTTTAAAAATAAATAAATCGCAGAATCTGCACGCAAAGCAACAGATCTGCAACTGAGCTCCAGTGAAATGAAACAGGACAGAATTGGCTACTCTGTCCATCTCTAATATATGGACTCCACAGAGTAGACCACAGCAAGTAATTTGTGAAGGAACCTGCTGGATCCCTGTACACTCTCTGTGGATCTTTACAGTCCATCCTGCCTTGTGAGTTGAGTCGCTCAGACAGACTCACTTATGGTGTACCTTGGTTCTCAAACTTAGTTCATTCCAGAAGTCCGTTCCAAAACCAAAGCGTTTCAAAACCAAGGCGTGCTTTCCCATAGAAAGTAATGCAAAACAGATTAATCTGTTCCAGATTTTTTAAAGCAACCCCTAAAAGAGCAATTTACTATAAAATAAATAAGACAGTAGATGATAAAAATTAAATTTATTATTATTTTCTTAGCTGCACTGATGATAGTCCTTGTTTGGATGGGGGGCTTTGATCCATTTCCACAGTCACACAATCAATCAATCAATCAATCAATCAATCAATCAGTAGCTGAACTGGGTTCCACACAGTCACAAAAACAAATTAACTGAAAAAGCCTCAAAAACAAAAACGCAAAATAAACAGCAATAACAAAAGTGCCAAATACAGTGATACTTTGGTTCTTGAACTTAATCCATTCCTGAAGTCCGTTTGACTTCCGAAATGTTCGAAAACCAAGGCAGGGCTTGTGATTGGTGCAGGTGTCCTGGAAACAATAGCCGACAGCCACATCGGACGTTCGGGTTCCGAAAAACGTTCGAAAACCGGAACACTTACTTCTGGGTTTTAGACATTTGGGAACCAAGGCGTTTGAGAACCAAGGTACCACTGTATTAAGGAAAATACGGGGGACTTCCTGATGTGGGCGGTTCCTCAATTATTATTTTTTTAAAAAAATGTTGCTTTGGGGAATAATAATAATAATAATAATAATAATAATAATAATAATTTATTATTTGTACCCCGCCCATCTGGCTGGGTTTCCCCAGCCACTCTGGGCAGCTTCTAATAAAAGATTAAAAATACATTAAAACATCAGTCATTAAAAACTTCCCTAAACAGGGCTGCCTTCAGAGGTCTTCTAAAAGTCTGGTAGTTGTTCTTCTCTTTGACATCTGGCGGGAGGGCGTTCCACAGGGCGGGTGCCACCACCGAGAAGGCCCTCTGCCTGGTTCCCTGTAACCTTACTTCTCGCAGGGAGGGAACTGCCAGAAGGCCCTCAGCACTGGACCTCAGTGTCCGGGCAGAACGATGGGGGTGGAGACGCTCTTTCAGGTACACTCGACCGAGGCCGTTTAGGGCTTTCAAGGTCAGCACCAACACTTTGAATTGTGCTCGGAAACGTACTGGGAGCCAATGTAGGTCTTTCAGGAGCAGTGTTATGTGGTTTTGGCAGCCACCCCCAGTCACCAGTCTAGCTGCCGCATTCTGGATTAGTTGCAGTTTCCAGGTCACCTTCAAAGGTAGCCCCACATAGAGCGCATGGCAGTAGTCCAAGCGGGAGATAACTAGAGCATGCACCACTCTGGCGAGACAGTCCACAGGCAGGTAGGGTCTCATCCTGTGTACCAGATGGAGCTGGTAAACAGCTGCCCTGGACACAGAATGGATCTGCGCCTCCATGGACAGCTGTGAGTCCAAAATAGGAAGCTCCCAAGCAGGGCATAAAGAAAACAGATTGCCAATCCCAGCAGCTAGTACCAAGAGAGATACACTGCCCCTGAATATGGAAGCTCTGCTAATTGGTAGCTGCCTCCTTAAAAGGTAAAGGGACCCCTGACCATTAGGTCCAGTCATGGACGACTCTGGGGTTGCGGCACTCATCTCGCTTTCTTGGCCGAGGGAGCCAGGTCATGTGGCCAGCATGACTAAGCCGCTACTGGCGAACCAGAGCAGCGCACGGAAATGCTGTTTACCTTCCCGCCGGAGCAGTATCTATTTATCTACTTGCACTTTTGACGTGCTTTCGAACTGCTAGGTTGGCAGGAGAAGGGACCGAGCAACGGGAGCTCACCCCGTCACGGGGATTCGAACTGCCGACCTTCTGACCGGCAAGTCCTAGGCTCTGTGGTTTAACCCACAGCGCCACCCGCATCCCGGTAAGCCTATCTAAAACCATCCAAGCCCCCATCTCGCCGGGCAGCAGCAAAACCCACCACGTGGAAACCTTTGCTCCTTCCTTATCCCAGAGCTTGTGAGTCACTCTCCGTCTCTTCCGATACCTTTTCCCATGTGGGATGTTGTTTAATTCTCAGCCCACACACAGAGCAACCTCCTTTGCTGGCTCCTTTTCTTGCACAGGCTGCGAAATCTCGATAATCTGGAGCAATTTGTTACATCCGGCCGCGGCTTATTTTTTTGACCTCCGGGGGTCAAGTACTTGCCTGGCTCGCGGCCCGTTCTTGTCAGATAACTTACAGCTCCTATATAGGCACTTTTCCCAGATTCCTTCTTCTGCGACTTCTTGCCTTGAGTAATTCAGCGAAGTTGTAGCCAACGTTGCCCATTGCATCTATATCTATACCTATATCATCTATATCTATATCATCTATATCTATATCATCTATATCTATATCTATATCTATCTCCCTCGGTGGTTTGATATCTTTTTCCCCCAATTTTTTTTTATTGATTTTCCACATTTATAACAAATATAAGAAAAACACAAAACAAAACATCTTACAATACTAAAAGAAAAAAGAAAAAAAGCAGTCATTACTTTCAAAATCCAAGTTAACTTTCACTGTAGTCTGACTTCCTCGATTCCACCCCTAACTCAATTTCATTGTAACACCTTTTTAACAGGTCTCCAAAATCCTCTTTCTAATACAATTAACTCCTCTTCAACTAACTATCTTCATCTCTTTTCTTTTTGACTTAAATCCATATTACTCTACAACATTATTATTCTAATCCTAGGCCTATCAGATACTTTCAAGTATCTTCTAATTATCTTATATTACAATATTTAGCTAAATAGTCTTTAAATTTCTTCCAGTCTTCTTGGTCTCCTCTTCTTTCTGATTCTCCCAGTCAGTTCAGCCAGCTCCAAAAACTCCAACATCTTCAACTGCCATTCTTCTACCCTTGGTATTTCTTGGGATTTCCATTTTTTTGCTAATAGCAGTCTTGCCGCTGTAGTGGCGTACAAAAATAATCTAACATCTTTTTTGGGCAATTCTAATCCTTTTTGGGGGTTTGATATCTTGAAGTGTATCGGGATCTTTACAGTAGCAATTTATTCTGAGTCAGTTCTTAAAGTTCCCATACTTTTTTGGGGGGTCCCACTGCCCCCCTTGTTCCATAAATTCATCCCCAGCACCCCCTGACCTACCCTATAAAAAGCATTATTCAGAAGAGCGGTTTGCATGACCCACAAAGGAAGATAACAACACGATAAAATTCAAAGCAGAAACAATTAATGGCACATTGAGTTGAGTTTTTTTGCTTATCTGCAAATCTATATATAGCAATGGACAGATCAATACGGGCAGAATATTCCCCCCCCCAAAAAAAAACAACTTCAGCTGGCTGCATTTCCACAGAATTTGCAAATCTTCCTTTCCAAACAGATTGCAGAGAAAGCCACGGGCCTTTACATGCACATTTCCCTTGCATGGGAATTATTGTAAATAATTTTGCCCGGCATTCACATTCCTGCATGCAATCTTGCACTTACTTTTTTATTTTTCACTAATATTTGCAGTTTTGTGGACACTTTTTTTTTTTTGGCTGTGGAAGAACTGCACCACGAGATTCAATTAAAAAAAAAAAGAATAGATTTTTTTGCATTGCTTCTTGGTTTCGGAAGTGTGAATTAGAGGTTAACACCGAACTAATTCCTCTATATCTAGTTAGGTAGCTACTGAGCATCTATGTATTACCATTATTATAAGTATATTCCACCTTTTCTCCAAGGAGCTCAAGGTAGCAAACAGACTTCTCCCCATCACCATTTTATCCTCACATATCACAGGTTAGACTGAGAGACAACAATTGGCCTATGGCCACTCAGTGAGCTTCATAGCTGAATTAAGATTTCAACTCTCATCTCTCAGGTTGTAGTCCAACAGCCTAGTCATTATGCCATACTTACTGTTTTCTCTATCTATCTATCATCTATCTATCTATCTATCTATCTATCTATCTATCTATCTATCTCTCATCTATCTATCTATCTATCTATCTATCATCTATCTATCTATCTATCTATATCTATCTATCTATCATCTATCTATCTATCTAATCTATCATCTATCTATCATCTATCTATCTACCTATCTATCTATCTACCTATCTATCTATCATCTATCTATCATCTATATCATCTATCTATCTATCTATCTATCTATCTATCTATCTATCTCTATCTATCATCTATCTATCTATCTATCTATCTATCTATCTATCTATCTATCTATCTATCTATCTATCTATCTCTATCTATCTATCATCTATCTATCTATCTATCTATCTATCTATCTATCTATCTATCTATCTATCTCATCGACCAATCCATCCATCGATCTCTCCCCCCATCTTGTTTTAATTTCTTCTCTTTTTTTGCTAATAATAATAATAATAATAATAATAATAATAATAATTTATTTATACCCCACCCATCAGGCCGGGCCTCCCCACCCACTCTGGGCAGCATCCAACAAAATATTAAAATACAGTAATGCATCAAACATTAAAAGCTTCCCTAAAGAGGGCTGCCTTCAGGTGCCTTCGAAAAGTCTGGTAGTTGTTTTTCTCTTTGACATCTGGTGGGAGGGCGGGGTTCCACAGGGCGGGTGCCACTACCAAGAAGGCCCTCTGCCTGGATCCCTGTAACTTGGCTTCTCGCAGGGAGGGAACCGCCAGAAGGCCCTCGGCGCTGGACCTCAGTGTCCGGGTAGAACGGTGGGGGTAGAGACGCTCCTTCAGGTATACTGAGCCGAGGCTGTTGAGGGCTTGAAAGGTCAGCACCAACACTTTGAATTGTGCTCGGAAATGTACTGGGAGCCAATGTAAGGTCTTTCAAGACTGGTGTTATATGGTCAATCCCCAAGTGTTTCTGAACTGCAGTAGCAAATGAATAAAACTTTGTTTCCAACTTTGCTTTTAGGCCACGTCAACCAGAACTGGATACCGAGATTGGATTTCAACTGAACCCGTGGAATGGAATTAGTATTTCTAGTTGGAATTGATGCTCAGATTCCATCAACTGTCTTGTGTTTGTCTCTGTCCCTCTGGAATGGGGTCTTTTTCACTCTGTCTGGCCACCAGCTACCCTATTCCTCACATCCTCCGCCATGTCGTTCCCTCTGCTTGGAACAGCCACCTCCGCTTCCTTCTCCCGAATGAGCCCAACCCTCTCCACAGACCCACTTCCACTGGTTTCTCTCCATCCCCTTAATTCTTTGGGGCACCTCCACCTTATCCCTGTCTTTATCGTGTAATAAAGACTATAGATCCCTGAGCTCGGATGCTGTGACTCATTGTTCTAGGCAAAGACCAATGCTGGCACTCGATTAGCTTGAAATTGTAGTCCTCGTCTACTACTAGTAGTAACATAATAGTAATTTACTACTAGTAGTAACAAAATAGTTATTTACTACTATTAGAGATAGTCCTGGCAACTAAGCACTATTAGGCCTCTCTTGCTGACACACACAAAAGCATTAATCTTTGGCTCCTGTATGTAGCTGTGCTAAAATGGTTATAGCTAGCAAAGCTACCTCATGTTCCAGAGAAGTTAGCCATTTCACAAAAATGGTTATTGGGATGTATAATAATAATAACAATAATGATGATGATAATTTATTATTTGTACCCTACCCATCCAGCTGGGTTACCCCATCCACTCTGGGTGGCTCCCAACAGAATATTAAAAATATGATAAAACATCAAACATTAAAAACTTCCCTATACAGGGCTGCCTTCAGATGTCTTCTAAAAGTCAGATACCTGTTTATTTCCTTACAATCTGGTGGGAGGGCGTTCCACAGGGAGGGCACCACCACCATGAAGGCCCTGTAACTTCCCTGTAACTTGGCCTCTCGCAGTGAGGGAACCGCCAGAAGGCCCTCGCAGCTGGACCTCAGTGTCCGGGCAGAACGATGGGGGTGGAGACACTCCTTCAGGTACACTGGGCCGAGGCCGTTTAGGGCTTTAAAGGTCAGCACCAACACTTTGAATTGTGCTCGGAAACGTACTGGGAGCCAGTGTAGGCCTTTCAAGACCGGTGTTATGTGGTCTTGGCGGCCGCTCCCAGTCACCAGTCTAGCTGCCGCATTCTGAATTAGTTGTAGTTTCCGGGTCACCTTGAAAGGTAGTCCCACGTAGAGCGCATTGCAGTAGTCCAAGCGGAAGATAACCAGAGCATGCACCACTCTGGCGAGACAGTCTGCAGGCAGGGAGGGTCTCATCCTGCGTACCAGATGGAGCTGGTAGACAGCTGCCCTGGACACAGAATTGACCTGCACCTCCATGGACAGCTGTGAGTCCAAAATGACTCCCAGGCTGCACACCTGGTCCTTCAGGGGCATAGTTACCCCATTCAGGACCAGGGAATCCTCCACACCCGCCTGCCTCCTGTCCCCCCAAAACAGTACTTCTGTCTTGTCAGGATTCAACCTCAACAAAGCCAAACAAAGCTTGCCAGAAAGAAAAAGAGGACTCTGCTTTTATACTCAGTCACACCATTGCTCCACCTAACTCAGTGTTCTCCCCACTGAACAAAAACAGTGGCTCTCCTGGACTTCAGTCAAGGGATTCCAGGGATCCACCGGAAGATGCCAGCAAAGATCGAACCTCACACTTTCTGCAGGTAAAGAAGAAGAAGACATCAAACAAACACCTTCACACTTTCTCCTTGTCTGTCTGGGAACCTGGGAGCAGAAGGAGAAAGGTCCCCTCCATCGAGCGATCTGTTGATGACTAACAGTTGTCCATTTTTGCTGCCTGGTACCTGGATAATAAATATTTGCATCGTCATTTATCTATTTATTTGCTTGCTGACTTACTTAGGAGTATTTATACGCTGACTACTACTCAAAGTTTTCTCTCTTTTGTCAAATTTTTTTTTATTAAGTGTTACATTGCAAATTAAGGGACGCGGGTGGCGCTGTGGTCTAAACCACTGAGCCTAGGACTTGCCGATCAGAAGGTCGGCGGTTCGAATCCCCGCGACGGAGTGAGCTCCCGTTGCTCAGTCCCTGCTCCTGCCAACCTAGCAGTTCGAAAGCATGTCAGAGTGCAAGTAGATAAATAGGTACCGCTGCAGCGGGAAGGTAAACGGCGTTTCCGTGCGCTGCTCTGGTTCGCCAGAAGCGGCTTAGTCCTGCTGGCCACATGATCCGGAAGCTGTACGCCAGCTCCCTCAGCCAATAAAGCGAGATGAGCGCCGCAACCCCAGAGTCGGTCACGACTGGACCTAATGGTCAGGGGTCCCTTTACCTTTACCTTTACGTTGCAAATTAAAATTCAAAGATCATCGTTTAGGACAGGGGTCAGCAACCTTTTTTAGCCATGGGCCGGTCCACTGTCCCTCAGACCTCGTGGGGGACCAGACTATTTTTTTTGGGGGGGGGGGAGAAATGAACGAATTCCTATGCCCCACAAATAACCCAGAGATGCATTTTAAATAAAAGCACACATTCTACTCATGTAAAAACACTACTCATGTAAAAACACATCGTCCGCAGGCTGGATTTAGAAGGCAATTGGGCCAGATCCGGCCCCCGGGCCTTAGTTTGCCTACCCATGATTTAGGATTTCCTGAATTCTGCGACTCCCCTCTGCCCTTCCCTGGTTACCATTATCAATCTTTTTTCAACTGCTTCTCTTATTTTTTCTCTCTTTTTTAAAAAATAGTCCATTTTAACCATAATTTTTTGTACATTACAAGCATTACTCAAAGCCTGCCAGCTGTTTTAGTTGTTTACAGTGTTCTCTTAAGTACGTTGTAAATTTCCCCCATTCCTTCTTAAAGTTCTTCTCTTCCTGGTTTCTGATTTTCCGGGTCAATTTTGCCGTTTTGGCATAGTTCATCATCTTCATCAACCATTCATCTCTGGTTGGGACTTAATCTTCTTTCCATCTCTGGGCCAGTAGTATCCGTGCTTCTGTCATCGCATACACAAATAATAGTTTCTGTTCCTTTGGTATCTCTGCACCTAAGATTCCTAATAGGAAAAAAAAAAAAGCCTCTGGGTTTGTTTGTTTTTACAAACGTTATTTTAAACATTTTTTTCAACTCATTATAAATTGTTTCCCAGAATGCTTTACTCAAAGTTTTCGAGGAGGTTTGCAATATATTTTAAACACAATGTCAAGGCTGCCTCAAGTCTTAGCTCACAAAAGACCAACGCCTATGTCTTCTTATATACAAAGGTGTTTATTGCAGTTCATGGTTTGCTTGACATCCTAGGCGCGCAGCCTTACGTCTCTTACGCTAGACCGCTGAAGTCCCCTCTGAGTCAGTCCCTCCCCTGCACCAATTTAAGAGACTTGCGCTGCTCCACCTCTTTCTCTCCTTCCTTTTCCGCAGGGTCCTTCTGCCCACTGGGGTTTCGCCCCTCCTGGATTCCTCTGACGCGGAATCAGACTGCTCTTCCCCCCCTCCTGCGGGCTTTGGGACCTGGCCCCTCCTCTGGGCTCCCTGCACTTCCGCACGCCTCTACATTTGAACTAGGCGCGCGCGCCAAACCTCTAACTTTCCTTTTGACAGTTACACTACTCCCTTCACTGCTCCCCTGCCCTTCCGGGAGGGCGGCTTGCTCTTCCCCCCTCCTTTCTCTGCTGCTGGAGCTGCTTCCTCTGACACACTGGAAACTCCACCCCCTTCGCTGCACTCTGGTGGGGAGGCTGGTCCTGACGCCCAGCTGCCACTTTGGGATCCTCCGCTGGCCCCCTGCTCCTGACACGTCCCCCCTGGGGCTCCCTGGCCTTAACCACCGGCGCCCCTTCTGGGAATCCTCTGATTCGCTGGAAAGACTCATGGAATCTCTTGAGTCATTGTCATCCTCTTCCTCGCTGGCTTGGAATTCCTCCCCATCGCTCTCCATCTCCTGCCTACCCTGTGCCTCTCTCCCTGAACCCCTGACACACAATAAAATAGACAGTGATACAATGGTCAGCTGCTTGGGAGGAGAATGGGGGGGGGGGGCTGAATTATTATTATTATTGTTATTATTATTATTATTATTATTATTATTATTATTTCTGAATTCCCACCTGCTGACAGCACTCCTTCCTCCTCGAACAGTTAATCTGCAGGGCTCAGATTTTTTAATGCATCTCACACTTTATTTGGATTGGTAGGGGAAACCACACCTTTCAATAGCTCGGTTGGTTAGAGCACGGTAACGCCAAGGTTGCGGGTTCGGTTCTCATACGGGACAGTTGCATGTACATTGTAGAGGGTTGGACTAGATCAGGGGTCTGCAACCTTTAAGACAAAAAGAGCCACTTGGACCCGTTTCCGAAGAAAAAAACAACTGGGAGCCGCAAAACTCGTCATTATAAAAATAACTTTTTTGTCACTTTTTTATTATTTCTTTGTTTGACCCCTCAGAACTACTCCTCCTCATAGAAATAAACGTTAAATTAACAAGTTACCTTCTTTTGTGTGTGTGTTCTTCACTCCCCTTCAAAACAGTGACCAGCGTACATGCCCCCTTTCAATGCAGTGACCAGCGTACATGCCCCTTACAATGTAGCGGGCGGGCAGGCGGGAAGGTGACGTCGGGACGGTGTGTGACTAACGCACGCACCGCCCCCATGCGACGTCACAGCCAGTACAGCGCCCGCCACAGTGGGGAGTGTCAGGGCGCACAATGCGCCTCCTCCCCTCGCTAGTATCCGCCCCGGAGCCGCGGCAAAGGTGTAAAAGAGCCACATGCGGCTTGCAGACCCCTGGACTAGATGATCCTCAGGGTCCCTTCAAACTCTATGATTCTATGATCTTCACGCTACTCTGTGGCTGCATCCACACAACCATCTATTCCATTTTCCTGAGGTTTCCCATACTGTTTATTTCCACATTATATTTGAGCTTTCATGCGACGCAATAGCCACTTCTGGAAATCAGTATCCAAACAAGCCCCTGTTTTGCAAAGAGAACGTCAACAATGTCTAGGCAACACACTGACCATATGTATACGTAATAGACAATCTTTATAGAATTCCTTCAAATCATAAAAAGTTCAAAATGAATTCTTCATCAGCGTGGTGGGTGGATATAGAATGCTTCTCTTATTTCGAATGAGCACTGTTCCACAGTATTTGATATTTTCATTTATATACATTATATACATTATATACATTCAAGATAGGTTTATGAAGCATTCCATATCCACCCACCACGTTGACGAAGAATTCTATGAAACAGTAGTCAATATCCGGAATTACTGTTCAGTGTTGGACATCATTGTTGAATACACAAAGCTTCACAGCTTGTCTTCCACCATACAGAGTTTGGCACCTCGCTTCATTTAAAGATTTTCAGAGACTTTGAGACTAAAGATTTCATTTTGAACTTTTTATGATTTGAAAGAATTCTATAAAGATTGTCTATTATGTATACTTCAGGAAATAAAGCAGAACATAGCACAAGTTTAGCGCTTGTTATCTGCTTCCAGGAAAAAAAACCAAAAAACAGTTTGCAAAGAACTTGGAAATAAATCTGTAGAAGACTGTATTCTGCTATACAGTGGTACCTCGGGTTAAGTACTTAATTCGTTCCGGAGGTCCGTACTTAACCTGAAACTGTTTTTAAGCTGAGGTACCACTTTAGCTAATGGGGCCTCCTGCTGCTGCCGTGCCGCCGGAGCACGATTTCTGTTCTTATCCTGAAGCAAAGTTCTTAACCTGAAGCACTATTTCTGGGTTAGCGGAATCTGTAACCTGAAGTGTATGTAACCTGAAGCGTATGTAACCCGAGGTACCACTGTATTTCTGGAAGTGGATTTTACATTGTGTGGAAACTCAAAGTGAGGAAATTAACTGTTAGGGAAAGCTTGAGGAAAGGGGATGAATGCAGCCTATATTTAGCTATCCAAGATGTTTGCAAGCAGATTTAAATCGGGAGAACGTTTTTTTTTTAAAGAATGGCCTGTCTCAGATCAGACTAGACCTATCTGCGTTTCGTTTATTTTAATTTTTTTTTTTCATCTCGTGGAAGCCTTGTTTGCATTCCCAGACCCTTATGGGGTCTAGTAACCTGAGAAGACATAAATTTATGCCCTCAGGACTTCTCTGGAGAGCATGACGGGGTCATATCAGTTTCTTCACCCGGCTATTTTTGAGCTATTTAGAGCTCCTTTGTTCTGTGGGGGTTAAGCATATCTCTCTCTCCCCTCCCAGCATTGCCTTTTGTGTTTGTCAGTCTTTGTGTGTTTTATGACACAACACCTGTCCGGCTGCCCCAGAGAGAGCCACGACTTCTTCACAAGGAAACAAAGCCCATAGCATGAGCTGCCGCCAACCCAAATCGCCCAACCACGCAGGTGTTTCGAACTCGTGACTGACAGGAACAGGAGCGAGTGCCCTGCCGGTGCGAAAGTTCAGGAAGCCGCAACTGTCTCCAGCAATCAATTCATGCCTCTCTCTCCAGAACAAAGGACTCTCCAGAGGAGGAATTGTCCTGGACACAGTTGTTCTTCCAAGAAGCTAAAAATAATCACCAGATCTGTGAGCCAAACGCTACCCTGGGACATCGCCTTTCAAGTCCCGAAGACAATTGACTGGGTGCATATGGGAAAACGACTGCAGGGAGAGGGGATCGCCAGACATCTCAAATGTCACAAATGCATCTCAAGAGCCCCAATTGGGGTATAATCTCAAAGATGCTTCGAGCTGCTCTCTTCCTCTCCATCCACAGGTGTAGCAAGGTCAGGTGGTACCTGGTGCGGAAGATTTCTCGTCACCCCGCCCCCCACAATGAAATTATTAAAGGGGAAAATAAGATACAGTTGCAAGTGTTATTTTCTGGTTTATTTACTGAACATTGTGAGCATAATAATAATAATAATATCTGAAGGCAGCCCTGTTTAGGGAAGCTTTAAATGTTTGATGTATTACAGTATTTTAATATTTTGTTGGAAGCCGCCCAGAGTGGCTGGGGAAACCCAGCCAAATGGGCGGGGTATAAATATTATTATTATTATTATTATTATTATTATTATTATACAAAGGGCCAGAAAATGGGTGGGTGCATTTGACTCTTGGGTTCCCAATCCCTGCTCTCCTGCCTTCCTGACATGGTTGCCAACTGCTCTCCCTCTCCTCTACCTGTTACTGCCACCTGCTTGCTCATGCCAGGCAGAGCCAATGAGCAAACTAACTACTGCCCGCTACTGCTGCTGCTGTTGTTGATTTGCTTGCCAGAGCAAGAGGCAAGAGAGCAAGTAGGTTGCAAGGGTGAAGAAGAGGAGCAGGCCGAGGGGGCTCTTTTCAGCAGGCCCTTGGCTGGGGGGCAGACCCTTGGCGCCAGCCCTGTTTTCTGGCAATCTTGAGCAATGCACAACAAAGCGATGTCCTCGTATTGGAGTCCACAGGGCATGTCAGCACCATGGAGAGCTCCAAGTGAGACACCTGCTCCAACAAATGTGGAAAGCAAACAGGGCCTTAGAAAGCTTTTGCCTCTCATACTACCTCTCCCAGGCTATACCCCCTTGTGGGGACCTTAGATCATAAGAAAATAGAGCCTGCTGGATCATGTCCTGGGCCCGGGGGTAACCCATGAAATGCAGTCCAGGACCGGTCCAGAATCCAAAGGTTCCGCTGGGAGTCAGACAGACAGGGCTAAAGCAGGACACGAGGCAGGAAACCAGGCAAGGAGAGGTACAGGATCTCAGGCAGGATCTGGCAAACAGCAATGTTGCTCCTGCAACCTGGGATGAGGTCCAACAGCCTTTTATCTCTGTCGGGGTAATGGCCGGTCCTGATCCCCCAGCAACTCACCTCCTTGTCTGGCCTGAAGGCGAGCACTCCTGCTGCGAGTACTCAGGTCTCTCCTTCTCTCAGATCTCAGTCTCTGCAGCTCAGGAGATGTTGGTGGGTTACCAGACCCAGGGGCCGCCTTAGCCTCCCCTGAACCAACCGGTAGTGGAGCAGCTGTAAGTGATGGCCCAGCTGGAGGCAACGAGGTCATCCCCACATCTGGAGCCAGGGCAGGCTCAGGCCCCTGACTCGGCCCAGCTGGTGCTTGTTGCAGGGGAACCTGTGCAGACTGGGACTCTTCAGGATAAGGCCCAGACTTGGTTCAGATGATGCCTGAGGCAAAGGATCTGGTGGAGACCGAGTCTCCTCTGGTTCTGAGTCCGAGCCCAAGTCCCAGGCCATCACAGATCAGGCCAATGGCCTATTTAGTCCAACATCCTGTTCTCAAAGTGTCCAACCAGAAGAAAGAGCTGAGAAGAACAGCAACATTCTCCCATCCTGTGGTTTCCAGCAACTGGTCTTCAGAAGCATTCCTGCCTCCAAACACTGAGGGAGAACATGGCCTTAAGGAACCATACCTCTGATCTGATGGTGGACATTCCTCCTGCAAGAACACCAAAATCTCAAAAGTGGTTGAGGGTGGAGGAACAGACTGACAACCAGGAATTAACAAAAGAATTGGTTGAATTTATCAAATTATTCCTCCATTGCAGGGGGTCGAACTAAATGACGCTTTGGAGCTCTTCCAACTCTACAACTCTGATTCTAAGTTTTAAATCAGTTAATAATTGGGGGGAGGGACTGGGACTCTTAGTCAGTGCCAACATTTGACCCTTCAAACGGTATGGGACTCCAACTTCCATCTGCCCCAGCCACCATGTCAGGGATGATGGGAGAATCAGCTTGGGGAAGGCTGACCTATGTAGAATCAAGCGCAGCCTCTGAACCCATTAGCAAAAGTTTTGTTTTCCGAAACCCAACTTTCCGATGATCCTGCATCTATGAATAACTTGTGCCACAAAGCGACCTCGGTACGTGACCATGAAACCATCTTGCGTATCATAAATCAGCTGGAGAGACCTCACCCAACTGCTTGTCGTTTCTAATATCCATCCTGCAGCCCACTGGCAAACTCTCTGTTTTTCTCTCTCTCCCTCGCCCACAGATACACAAACAGCCCAACTCACCATAACCCAAATCCCAGGAACAATGATTGAGCGTTTACATCATGTCTAGTAGCGCTTCAGGTCACGGACAAGGAAATGGGCGTTGTGGCTACTCGCTCCCACAAAATGCTGTCTTCCTTTCTCACTGAGGGCAACTTGGCCATTTTGTTAAGATTGGCACCTTCCAAACGATTCCTAAAAAGGGGTGGGGTTCACGGTTAGGAGAAGGATGCGCCTTTCTGACTTTGGTCAAGTCAATGGCTTCAATAATAATAATAATAATTTATTATTTATACCCTGCCCATCTGGCTGGGCTTCCCCAGCCACTCTGGGCGGCTTTCTACAAAATATTTAAATACAGTAATGCATCAAACATTAAAAGCTTCCCTGAACAGGGCTGCCTTCAGATGTCTTCTAAAAGTCTGG